ACACAGTAAGTACAGCTGCAGGTCTTCAATCCAGACGGCAAAGTCAATGGCCCTCCCCTCAGCGTCAAAAGTAAGAACATTGGGGGTGGCCATGGCAGCAGCTGAAAGTCTCACCGGGCTGGAAGAGTCGGGTAGGTCAGCAGCAGAGGAACACAGCTCAGGGACAGCAGCACGGCTCCTCAGGTGGCTCGCGTGGCTCAGGCGGCTCGGGCGGCTCGGGCGGCTCGGGCGGCTCGGGCGGCTCGGGCGGCTCGGGCGTCTCGCGCGGCTCGGGTGGCGTAGGGGCTCACGGGCGGCGCGGGCTGCTGGGGCTGCTCACGTGCAGCACGGCGGGCTGCAGCAGGGCCGGTGGTGGGCTGTAGCAGGGCCGGTGGCGGGCTGTAGCAGGGCCGGCGGCGGGCTGTAGCAGGGCCGGCGGCGGGCTGTAGCAGGGGCCGGTGGCGGCTGTAGCAGGGCCGGTGGTGGGCTGTAGCAGGGCCGGTGGCGGGCTGTAGCAGGGGCCGGTGGCGGCTGTAGCAGGGCCGGTGGCGGGCTGTAGCAGGGCCGGCGGCGGGCTGTAGTAGGGGCCGGTGGCGGCTGTAGCAGGGCCGGTGGCGGGCTGTAGCAGGGGCCGGTGCGGGCTGTAGTGGGGCCGACGAGGGGCCGAAGTGGGGCCTAGGCGGGCCGGCGGGCTGTAGGCGGGGCCGACGCGGCGGGCTGTAGCAGGGGCCGGTGGCGGGCCTAAGCGGGGCCAGCGCGGGGCCGACAGGGCGTAGGTGGGGCCGGCGCGGGGCCGAAGAGGGGCCTAAGCGGGGCCGACGGAGCCTACGCGGGGCCGACACGGGGCCGAGACGGGGCCTGGGCGGGGCCTACGCGGGGCCGACGAGGGGTACGCGGGGTCGACGAGGGGTACGCGGGGCCTACGCGGGGCCGACGAGGGGTACGCGGGGCCTACGCGGGGCCTACGTGGGGCCGACGAGGGGTACGCGGGGCCTACGCGGGGCCGACGAGGGGTACGCGGGGCCGACGAGGGGTACGCGGGGCCGACGAGGGGTACGTGGGGCCTACGCGGGGCCGACGAGGGGCACGCGGGGCCGACGAGGGGCCTAAGCAGGGGCCGACGAGGGGCCTAAGCGGGGCCGACGAGGGGCCTAAGCGGGGCCGACGAGGGGCCTAAGCGGGGCCGACGAGGGGCCTAAGCGGGGGCCGACGAGGGGCCTAAGCGGGAGCACGACGGGAGGGGCGACTCGGAGGGTCGCTAAAAAAAATTGCGCGCCTCGGGGCGCGCTTCGGTGGGCCCTAGGAACAGGCCCTAGGAAGGGACTTGCTCTGATTCCATGAGAAAGTACGAACGAGAAGTGAAATGACTATGAACGAAGTGAGTACAAATAGGAAACCCTAATTGGGTTGTACCCCCTATGGGATACCCCACTATAGCCTACAGAAACAAGTAAGCTATAAGTTCTGACACGACGTTGCGAACGCATTTCTCTACGCACCTGTGGATGCAGAAATCTTCGTCGAACTCCCGCACGGCTCCCACGGCGAACCCAACCGAGTGTGTCAACTACTCAAATCACTCTATGGGATCAAGCAGGCACCGCGACTGTGGCAGCAGTACCTACACGCCCGCCTCATCCGCATCGGCTTCAAACAACTCCCGCATGACCAGGGCATGTATCGCCTCACAAAAGGAGGCGATTACGTCCTACTAATCGTCTACGTGGACGATCTCCTCTACATTGGGTCAACCGACGACATCGCCACGTGGTTCGAAGGGGAGCTCCAGAAAGACCTCACGCTCACGGTCTCTTCTACGGTTACGCAATATCTCGGGCTCAACATCCGTGAGGAAGAAAACACAATCTACCTAAGCGCCGAGAAGTACGCCGACACTATCGCGAAACGCTTCCGTCTCACACCAAGCGCCATTTCCACGCCTTACCGCTACGCGTCAGGAACCGAAAAGGGGCAATCTACTCTACTTAAACCCGCCGGCATACGCGACTATCAAAAGAAGCTCGGATGCCTTCTTTTCGCAGCAGTCACATGCCGTCCCGACCTATCCTACTCCGCGAGTCAGCTCGCTACCTATCTCAAGAGACCTGAAGCAGAGCATCTGGCGGAACTCGATCGTGCTCTCCACTACTTCGTCAGCACCGCGACGATCGGACTAACTTATCACAAAAACGTGACTACACCGACCAAGCTAATCGGCTACGTCGACGCCGATCACGCCGGCGACACCGACAACAGGCGCTCACGCACCGGCTATGTCTACCGCCTTGAGCCTATCGGTCCTATCTCCTGGCAGTCGAGCAAGCAGGAGTTAATCGCACTATCTTCAGCAGAAGCAGAATATATTGCACTCTGCTCAGCCACCAAGGAGGGACTTTACCTTCGCGAACTACTGGAAGAAGCGAAGCTAGCCGAGTTACCCAGCTTCACCGTGTTCTGCGACAACCAGTCGGCAATTCGCACCGCCAACAAAAACGGCTTCCCAAACAGGACGAAACACATCGCCCTGCGCTATTTCTTCGTGAAGGACGAGATAGAAAAAGGGAAACTCGATCTGTCGTACTGTCCAACATCCGAGATGGCAGCCGATTACTTGACCAAGAAACTCGGAAAGCAGAAGTTCGAATACTGCATGATGCTGACTGGACAAGGCCACGTCACCAGCAGCGACACTCCAGAAGCGAAGGAGAGTGTTGGAAACAATAAGTCCTAAGTGCGCTTCTGTCGTACCAAGACCCAAGGCACCAAGCGAAGCAGTCCCAATCGAAGCATCGAGTCAACCTCGGAGGTTAGGGTGTTGAAATTAGGAGGTCGCTAGAGTAGCGGAAATACTCTAGGAAATAACGACGTCCTCTCAGAATCCCAACCACTAGACCATTGGGATAAAAGGGCTTGTTTCAGTAGCGGGTCAGTGCGCCCATAACCCCCCAGGCAAACGTGCCTGTAACCCTTCCCTAGGATCGATCGGGGATCACCAGTGGACCTCTGACACCCCCCCGCACTGGGATGCCCGAAGTGCATACACCGGGATTCGAGCCCGAGACCTTCGCTCTGATACCATCTCAGAATCCCAACCACTAGACCATTGGGATAAAAGGGCTTGTTTCAGTAGCGGGTCAGTGCGCCCATAACCCCCCAGGCAAACGTGCCTGTAACCCTTCCCTAGGATCGATCGGGGATCACCAGTGGACCTCTGACACGTCCCAGCGGCGGGGCTATGGTCACTCAGAGGTAGCTCTCCTGGCTTGTAACTTGGCGCCAAAGCGGCGGCCGAGGGTAGGCCGGACACAAGCTTGAGAATTGTGTAATGATAGCATGGCAGTACATTGAGTTATATAGGAAACATAGCAGGGAGGCAGTTACCAAGGCGCAACTGTATTACAGTTGCGCTGTAACGTTTCAGTTGCCCAGTTACTGGCGAGACCTTTCAGCTTCGGCAAGGGCGCGGTATTCTGCCGCGCCTCCAGGGTGGTTTCGCGTACTGTAGACGCTGCCTCTTGCTCAATTCGACCCTTCGGCTGCCACGCGGGTCGCAACCACTGTACGCGGTTGCGCCCCTGCAGTTCGATACTTGAGTCATCACCCCCGATATTGAGGGCTTCGCTTCTGCACTTTGAACAGTGCACTGCAAGATAAATAACACACAAATATATTTCCAACAAGGGTAACCGCCTGGAGGTTACGAGAAAGTCAAAGGTCACTGACCTTTGACTCGACAATTACAGCGCGACAGTTAAGGACACACAACTGACTCGTTACAGAGCAGTTGCCCGAGTCGCACTGTATCGAACCGCAACAGCAATACAGTTATCTATCTATCTATTCGTATTCCCTGTACTCTTATATAAATCCTTGTATTTGCTTGTTCAATTTAATCTACTTTGCTCTCACACACCAGTGCAAGGTCGGTTCACAATCCTCATTAAAACGCTTCCGCTATTACAAGTTTCTACCCAAGAGTTCTCCTCTGCAAAGATCCTAAGGGCTATTTCTCAGCCCAACAGTAGCAAATGCCCACGGGCATTTGGCTCACAGGCACCTCTTATCGTGTGCAAAGGGGATACTAAATGTTTTCGTTGTTGCCTTCCGTCTTTCCGAAATTGACGCATACCCGTATGCGAGTACTGCGGTGAAGGGAAATGGGGGGAGCGGGGTTGATCGAGGCCTGGATCAGACGTGGGAAGGATAGTTAGCATTCCGCGTAGATGCCTAGTGTTTGGCGTGTGCTCCTGGGGGAGCATTTTTGCCCTGTAACTTCCGTCGGAATGCGCTTTTTTGAGTTGCGCAGCCTGCCATGTCATTCCCCTGGTGCGGGCGAGTTTGCATTCTCGCAGTCGTCCGCTGATGTGTATTCGGATTGTGAGTCCTCACGCTTTGTTGGCCTGAAATTCGCATCTAATCCGCAACACCGGATTGCGCTCATACACTGCAGGGTGTGGCGCCTGTCAGTTGGACGTCGCCATGTGCGATGCACTCCATATCGTTTGCAGTCCCAGTACGCACGCTGATTTGAGGGGCGAGGGAACGTGGGGCTCAATGCCATTGGTCGCTTTCGTGCAGGTCCTTTCCTATTCGCACTGAGCCTATGCGTGTCTCTACCATCACTCACGTACCTCGGTAATCACTGGTATCTGTTCGTCGTCGCCCTTGAACCAGCACCAGTCTCGACCACGTAAGGTCTGATTAGGTCTACGGCTGGTGAGTGTGTTTGTAAGGGGTGTCTCAGTTGTTGATTGCGCAAAACAGTTGACCGAGACCTGGGTTTGGCGTGCGACACCCACTCCGTCGTCTTTGGCTGTCTTGCACACCCCCTGCGATCAAGGGTAAGGGTTTCGCAAAAATGTGAGGGTTCGTGTTGCGAAGTGTTTGTTCTTTGGCGAGTTGAATTTTGGCAGGACGTTTGTTCGTGATTCGTAAGCCAATCAGACCAACCCTTTTTCTCACAACTGCAAAGCACTTGCTCTACTTGAGACCCTGTCTTTAAGAATCTATAAGCTTAGCACTCAATACACCTCCCCCTCCTCCCCCTCCTGAAGGCGCATGCAGAGGGACAGACAGCCCTCCCTGCAAGCAGGTCGACGCTTGGTAGCCACTGCAGGAGGCTTCCAGTCATCAACAGCAAACCCTACCACACCAGCAGCACCAGTGGCACCAGCAGCAGCTGAAGGGACATTGGTATTCTTCTGGTGTGCCAGATTGTGGTAATGGCAGCACTTGAGTACCTCCTTGCTTGCCAGCAGCTGCAGCTGAGACATCTCTGCCAGGCTGTCAGTCACTACCCGAGGAACCTTGTTGCTTCCAGCTTTGCCAAGACCCTTCTCGCCATTCTGGCATGTGTCGTTCGCCACACCAGCAGCTACAGGCATTGCTAAAAAGCCAGGTAAGGCGTCGGCAGCTTTCATGGCCGCAGCAGCAACCAATTCAGCAGTCGTTGCGAGTGGCAGGTTCGTAGGCGCGGCTGCCACAGGGGTAGGAAGGTCTCCCGCCACCATCTCTGGTAGGATCTGGGTGCGAGCCTCAGGGATAGCAGTTCCAGCATCCGTTGTGGGGAACCACTTGCTTAAGAGATACTTAGTTCGGCGCCATGGAGCTATCGCGATTCCACTGCTTTGGAGTGACAGGTTCATGGCGGTAGCCAGGGCAGTGACAAGGGGTTTGAGCCGCTGACGTCCGCCGACAAACACGGAGGGAAGCTGAGAGAGAAGTTCGGCATAACGAGGGGTCGGGCGAGCCACTTCAAACTGCTGCCTGAAGGACACATCCACAACCACACGCTGAGATGGCAACAGCAGGCACGGCTGCGCGGGAAGCAGCGCGGAAGGCGTCGGCCACTGTGCAGCCGACTGCTGCTGGTATTGCTGCTTCTGCTTCTGATGACGTGGCTGATTATTGAGAGAGCGCAGTGATCCCTCCGGTTTCCTGCTGTGCCAGTTGGAAGGCTTGAATGGAGAACCGTCCAGAACAGATGTGGGAGAACCTCCAGATCCTGATCCCCTTGCGCTCGACGCCATGGAAATCTCCAAAAAGTCGTATTCTCCGGAAGGAGCCTCGTGAGTGGTTGGCCACGCAGCATGACACAGCATGACGTCATGACGGCGAGAGGCTGCAAGGTTAGCAGCGACCTTCATGCGATTGGCAGCAGTCGCGTCACGCGGAGGCGACGACGACGGAGAATAATAAGCAGGAGGCGAATCAGTTGAAGAGACGCTAGTGGGGGCTTGTGAGAGAACACTTTCAGGATTAGTGGCAATTTGAATTCCGGACTTCGGTGATTCCATCACCAGCTTCACGTGCTCTTCCAGTAGTTTCTCCGAGGGAGCAGCGGTCGCAAGGCACTGCATGTACGGAAAAACAAATAATTAGACTCTGGAATTAACCAATGTTTAAAGTTTCAACACTAGCGAGAAAACCAAGTTCACTGCAGGCTTACCAGCTTGACGGTCATGGCTAGTTCAGCCCATTCGTCTTCCTCGTCGGAGTCGCGAGACATGAACTGTACAGCCTTAATCTGTACAGGTGATTCTTTTGAGGACTCCTGAATTGAATCCTCATGATAAAGAAGGTCCAGCTCTGGATCCTTGGCAACAGTCGTAGATGGACCTCTGGCATCTGCACCAGGGTGCGTCAGACCAGCAACCACAGGAAGCACGACGTTAGATTTACTGACACGCCGACGCTGCTGAGCAGCAGCGGGTGGGGTCTTGCCTGAAGCTTCCTGAGCCATTGTTGGCTTGACGACGGCCTTGTGCGTGAAGAAGCGCTCAACCACCGATGCTTCTACGGGATCGGAGATCCGCTTGCTCCGCCTTGCCGGATTCATCTTGTTCGAATGCCTCGATCAGAGAAGAACTGGTTGCGAACCACCGCTGCGCGTTAATGAAACCACTCCTGCGATGCAGATTTCACCATCCAGAACGGACTGCCAGAATGGACCGAAGAGAACACACGGTTCCCGGTGATCTCCATGCAGATCACCACACTCCTTGAGAAACCTCGACTTCCTGTTCCACAGATGCTTCGGAATTGGCCGTGACTTGTTAAATCACCATGGCCAACGGATACTGGTGTCAATGTATGGAATACGAGCTTCAGTAGCTCTAACCATGGGTTGCATTGACGGAAGGCGACTGCGAGGGTCTGAGCCTCGGCAGAGAGTGGAAAGGGAACTAAGTCAGGAGTATGGTGAACTGAGAACCACGAGCTATTATCATAGTTCACTGAATCACATTAACTCCAACCAGGAAAGGGAAAGGGTGTGTGTGTCAGAGAGACCCACTGTGCACTGCACAGTCAACACCAAACTCGGCCAGCTGGGAGGGGGGAGAGAGGATTCAGGTGGTAGGGGTGAGAGGGAAGGGTTTTTTGCGTGACTGGGGGTTGGGGAAGATCTGGGATCAGGTCAGGTTCCGTGCAAGCTTGACGGGAAAGTGAACCGTTTGACAGCACGTCGATTTCGAGAGCGGGGAGACCTGACGACGACGTTTGTGCGAAGCTGACGGTTGACTTCTGTCAGCAGCACCAAACCGAATTGCTTCTTCATGCGAGGACCGGCATGGATTGGCGGTGCAGTGGTGAGAACTCGAGGGAAATAGGAAGACCGTCAAAATCCATGGTTTGCGATGGTTACGAAGAGAATTGATCGTCGTCAATTGTTCCCCCTAATCACGGCGAAATAAATGTTGCGAAATGCGTCGTTACGACGCCAAACCACACGACCTCGAAACGATCACGAATGTGTTCGTTCCGCTCCGCAGCGTTCCCCGCATCCCAGAATGGCGGGGACGAGCACTTTCCACGCATATTTCCACCCCAAGTGGATAGAGCAGCACATCACCCCTCCTGCCAGACTTCAAGGTTCGGGGGTGCTGTGCTGAGCTGGGGGGAAGATGGGATGGCATGGGGCAAGTGGACGACCATCTTCGCGTGAAGTGGCGGGGAGATGTGTGTGTGACTCATGGGTCATGTCGGTGCTGCTCCGTGGCTGGTCCGTTCCATCTGGGCAACTTTCGTGGCGCCACATCTTGCTTTGTATCGCCAACGATGGAGACGGCCGGCTTATGATTGGTGAGATTCTAAAATTCACTTGCAGCCGTGGAAACCAGCGTAAGTTTTCTTCGAATCCAGCATCAGCGTCTGCTGGCGTTGACCCGGCACACGTGTGCATCAATTGGAGCAGGGATAGTTGTCACGGAGCTGGTAGGTGGGACCACTTGAGGGTAGGCCTGACGTGGCAGACATAAGAATATTCCGTTTTCCAGCCTGTTCGTGTCAGCTCAGCGTCTGACAGCTGTCCGCGCCAAGAAACTCTCTACAAATCAAAATTGTCTTGGATAATGCCTCAGCCTTACACCATATGAGGATGAATTGAGAAATTTTAACGTCATGTTCTTAGTACAAATGAACGCAAATGTATTTTCTTGATAAAACCCTATCTTAATTATCAGGCTCCACGTCAACAGACCACTCTCGTGTTCCCCAGGCTTCAAACCAGGTGCTGCTGCTGTTGCTGCTCTTGCTCCTGCTTCTGCTGCTGTTGTTGCTTCCACCGCAAATAACTCTCCATAAACTCATCCAAATCGCCATCCAGTACACCTCCAACATCGCTCGTCTCATACTCCGTCCTCAAATCCTTCACCAGCTTATACGGATGCAGCACATAGTTCCGAATCTGCTGCCCCCACTCCGCTTTCACAACGTCTCCTCGAATCTCTCTTATCTCCGCCGCTCTCTGCTCCTCCAGAATAATTAGCAGCTTCGCCTTGAGCATTGCGAGTGCCTTTGCCTTGTTCTGCGCCTGTGACCGCTCCTCTGAACAGGTTTAGGGAGATGGAGGATGGAAGAGACGCTGGGTAGCAAGTGGGCAGAGGGAGCATGGAGCTATTGATTGCTATCTGAGCATTTGATGGCAATCCCCGTGGGCACGTGCACCATGAACACTGCTGACTACACTTTGCCACTGTGCGGTAGCACTGCAACCACTCATCACTACTCATCACCGCTCATGACCCACCTGAGCATTTGACGGCAATGCCCGTGGGCACATGCACCATGTGCACTGCTGTCTCCACCTTGCCTCCTTGCCACTGTGTGCCAGCACCTGAACCACTCATTACCACCATTACCTCATTGCCTTCTGCTCACCTGAGCACTTGACTGCGATCCCCCTGGGCACATGCACCATGCACACTGCCGTCTCTACCTTGCGACAGTGTGCCAGCACCTCAACTATTCATCACCACTCATCACCACTCACCACGATTCACCACTCTTCATCGCTCATCACCGCTCATCACCCAACTGAGCATTTGACGGCAATCCCCGTGGGCACGTGCACCAGGCGCACTGTTATCTCCTCCACCTTGCCTCGTTGCTAGCTTCCCACCATATACCAGCACCTGAACAACTCATCACCACTCATCACCAATCATCACCCACAGTGTGTCAACACTCCAACCACCTAATCAGCCTTGATATCCACCCCTCACCTGAGCACTTGACAGCAATCCCCGTGGGCACATGCACCATGCGCACGGCCGTCTCCACCTTGCCACCGCGTGCCAGCACTTGAACCACTCATTACCGCTCATCACCTCATTGTACTTCCCCTCACCTGAGCACTTGACAGCGATCCCCGTGGGCACGTGCACCATGCGCACCGCCGTCTCCACCTTGTTCACCTTACCACCGTGCCCCAGCACCAGAACGACTCATCACCGCTCATTACCGCTCTACACCCACCTGAGCACTTGACAGCGATCCCCGTGGGCACGTGCACCATGCGCACGGCCGTCTCCACCTTGTTCACGTTCTGCCCGCCCTTGCCGCCCGCCCTCATAGTAGACACATCCAGGTCATCCTCGGGAATCTCCACCTTGATTGCCTCCTCTTCTAGCAGAGGCATCACCTCCACCCCCGCGAAGCTCGTCTGTGGATACAGTTGTGAGAGAGGGTAGAATGCAAGGGGGAAGGAGGCTTTCAAACCCTCATTCTAGTCGCATCTAGGTTGTCATCCTCGAGAATCTCCACCTTGATGGCTTCTTCCTCCAGCAGTGGCATCACCTCCACCCCCGCAAAACTCGTCAGTGGATTTAGTTGTGAGAGAGGGTAGAACGCAAGCCGGAAGAGGGCTTTTAAGCCCTCATTGTAGTCACATCCAGGTCCTGCTCAGAACATCTCCACATTGATCGCTTCTTCCTCTCTAGTAAAGGCATCACCTCCACCCCTGAGGAACTCGTCTGTGAGGTACAGGGCAGGGTGAAAAAAAGGGGGTAACATCGAAGTTCGGTGTTGTCACATCCCGCCCTCATTATAGTCACATCCAGGTCATCCTCGGGAATCTCCACCTTCATCGCCTCCTCCTCTACCAGAAGCATAGCCTCCACCCCTGCGAAGCTCGTCTGCGGGGGAATGAGAGAGGTAAGAATGCAAGAGGGAGTATTGAAGACCTACATCCCGCTGACCGCCCCCTGACCGGCCTCTCCCCACCGGACTGCCCAACCACAAATGACCTGTACAATACGCATCCTACCTTGTTTTGAGACGTCTCAAAACCACCGGACTGCCCAACCACAAATGACCTGTACAATACGCATCCTACCTTCATGCTTTCCAAGGTACACGTGTACATACAACACAAGCCCACCTGTCTCAGCCCCTTGGGCGGTGAATGCCGACTGTCTGACTAGTCAGTGAGTGCCCTTGTCTCCACTCAGGTACCTGTAGGCATACCGCGCCTCCCCCTTGTGCATCGACCAACCCACCTGTCGGAGCCCCTTGGCATTGAATGGCGACTGCCTAACAAGCCGGTGAGTGCCCTTCTCCCCACTCAGATACCCGTAGGCATACCGCCCCTCCACTTCAAGCGTGGCACTCTTGATCCCCGCCTCCTCCCCGTCCGACCGCTCCACCACTCGCTTCTTAAAGCCCCGCCTGTCCGCCCACCGTGAGTACATGCGTAAGAGCATGTCCGCCCAGTCCTGACATATGTTCCAAGGGGAAGGAGGAAGGGCGAATCAATGATGCTCATATATGCAACTCGCTTCTTAAAGCCCCGCCTGTCTGACCACTGCATGTACAAGCGCAGGAGCATGTCCGCCCAGTCCTGAGTGTGAGAAGAGAGGTTGAAATGTAGTTGATGATATGATAGAGAAACAGGGGGGTATACATAGTAATGGGGTTGGATGCTAGCCTAAGGTGCCATTATTGGACCCTAACCAAGAGGTTGGGTTGGGAGATTATTGGTGGGGTCCAATAATGTTGGCCAAGTTGGGGTTGGGCCAACATTATTGGAGGGGGCCAATAATTCTACCCAACCCAATCTTTTGGGGTCCAATAATTGGACCAAGGTTGGGTTCCAACCTACAAACTGGGTTACCCCTGTTTGTACACCCAAACTAAGTTTGGGTGCTTAACTCTAGCCTAACCTATAGCATATATGCAGGTTACAAGAGAAGAGGGATTCTAACACAACCCCTTAACCGGCAGAGATGCGGAAAGGCTTGAGGGAAGCAACCCCTGAATCAAGGCGCGCCTGGGGGAGCGAGGCCGATGAGGCGGAGAAGAGCAGAGTGCGCAGGGCGAAGAAGGGCTTTGGTAAAGATATCAGCCAAGTTGGCTGCAGCAGCGATCTTGCGAACGGCAATGAGGTTCCGTTGGACAAGGTCGCGGATGAAGAAATAGCGGAGCTCAATGTGCTTGGAGCGACCATGGAAGACGGGGTCCTGGGTGAGATGGATGGTGCTAGCGTTGTCGCACCAGAGCATAGGACAGCGCTGGGGTGCTCCAAGCTCTGCCAGAAGGAAGCAGAGCCAGCGGGACTCTTGCGCGGCCATGGTGCCAGCATAGAGTTCAGCTTCGCAGGAGGAGAGGGCAATGGCAGAGGAGCGAGTAGAACGCCAGCTGATAAGCCCGCTGCCGAGTGTGAAGCCATAGCCTTGCGAGGAGCGGCGGTCCGGCTGGGAGTCCGCCCAAGATGAGTCGCTGAAACCAGAGAGAAGGGGAGGGGAGGATCCACCCAGGGTGAGGGCGTGATCCTTGGTGCCACGGAGATAGCGGAGGACCCGCTTGGCGGCAGCCCAGTGCTCTTCAGTGTGGCGGCCGTAGCCGACGAACCGAGCAAGGACGCTGATGGGGTAGGCGAGGTCGGGACGAGTGCACATCATCGCGTACATCAGCGACCCAACAAGCTCGGCATAGGGCCGGGAGGAGGGGGAGGGGGAGGTGGGTGGCGCGAGTTGGTGACCGAAGGGGAGGGGGGTGGAGACCGGTTTGGCCTGCGCCATCTCAAACTTCTTCAAGACCTGGCTGATGTAGTGGGACTGGGAGAGGGTGATGGTGCGGGCGGATCGATCACGAGTGATAGCCATGCCGAGGTAGTTCTGCAGCGGACCAAGGTCCTTGCACTTGAGACGTTCCTGAAGTGACCGCTTGACTTGCTCCATGTCGGCCTTGGTGTCAGCGAGCAGGATCATGTCGTCAACGTAGACCGAGATGAAGAAGCGACGGGGGGAAGAGCGGATGAAGAGGCTGGCATCGGAGTGGGAGGCGGAGAAACCAAGGGACTGGAGAGTGGCAGACAGCTTCGCATGCCATTCGCGTGGTGCCTGCTTCAGGCCATAAACAGGTCGCCGAAGTTGCCAGACGGTGTTGTCAGGGAAAGCAGCATGAAACCCGCGAGGCCGACGGAGGAAGATGCGCTCGTGCAGTTCGCCTTGCAGGAACGCGTTGGAGACGTCCATGGAGTCAATCTCCATGTCGTCACGCGCACCAATATCCATGAGGGTGCGTAGGGTGGCCTGCTTCACAGTGGGGGCAAATGTGAACCAGAAGTCTTCAACCCAGGTCTGAGTGAACCCCTTGGCAACGTAGCGGGCTTTGTAGACCGGTTCTTCTCCCGGCAGCTGCTTGACTCGAAAGATCCACTTGCCCTCGACCAGGTTGGCGTCAGAGGGGAGGGGAACGTCAATGAAGAAGTCGTTGCGGATAAATGCCTCACATTCCAGGAAGATGGCGGCTATCCACTTGTCAGCGTCAGGGCAGGTGATAGCCTCCTGGAAGGTGGAGGGGACGAAGATGGTGGGAGCGGAGATCGCGCTAAGGATTAGAGCGCTGAGGAGGCCAGGGTAGAGCGTGGTGAGAGAGGGAGTGTGGCGCTGGACCATGGTGAACTCCTCATGGGAATCCTCGAGCTGGTTGAGGGAGGGAGGCGGCGGTGTGCCAAGGATGGGATCGAGGAGCGGGTGTGCATGCGAGGGAGGAGGAAGGGTGAGGAGCGGGCAATTGCCCTCTGCCGTTGCTGCTGCTGGTGCTGCTGGAACCCCTGCTGCTGCTGCGGCTGCTGCTCCTCCCAATGCTGCTGCCCCTGCTGGTGCTGCCCCTGCTGTTGTTGCTGCTGCGGCTGCTGCTGCCCATGCTGCTGCTGCTGCGGCTGCTGCCCCTGCTGCTGGGACGGAGGATAAGGAGAGGGGGGGGGAGAGGAGGGAGGGGGGGCTGCGGAGTGTGCAGGGGATGCGGGAGCAGTGGGATCGTAGATGTCGGCAGATGAGGGTGGCGGAAGCGGAGTAGGGAGAGGTGGGAGAAGGGGTGCAGGAGAGAGGAGGGGAGGGAGCACAGTGTCGGTCCAGGTGAGAGGGCGTGAAGGAGGAGGGAGGGGGTCTAGCGGTGAAGAGGAGTAATAGGGGGTGGTTTCGTCAAAGACGACGTCAATGCTGCGGATAAGGCGTCCAGAGGGAGGGTGAAGGAAGAGGTAGCCAGGCGAGTCGCAGTTGTGTCCGAGGTAGACACACTCGAGGGCACGAGAAGCGAGCTTGCCGTGGGTGCGATCGGGTGGAGGGATAAGGACATATGCCTTGCAACCCCAGACACGGAGACCAGCGGCGTCAGGTTTGGTGCCCGACCAAAGCTCCGTGGGGGTGGTGGTGGTATGTTGGGGATGGGAGTGAAGGTTGAGGAGGAGGGCAGCATGGAGCAAAGCATAGCCCCAGAGGGAAGGGGGGGTTGAGGCGTGAGCGAGGAGACAGCGGGCGATCTTGGTGATTTCGCGAATCCGGCTTTCTGCGACGCCATTCTGCTGCGGGGAGTGGGGGAGAGTGTGAGTCTGTTGGATGCCATGGGTGGTGCAGTAATGGGAGAGAGTGCGATTGAGGAATTCGCCTCCCCCGTCAGAGTGTAGGCGGCCGATGGGACGCTTGAAGTGGGCGCGGCATTGCTCGGCCCAGTTGACGATCATGGTCGGCGCCTGGTCTTTCGTGTGGAGGAGGAAAATGGAGGAGTAGCGGCTGTGGTCGTCTGCGAGGATCAGCATGTAGCGATGGCCCTGACGAGAACGAGTGGGGGAGGGTCCCCAGAGGTCCATATGGACGAGGTCAATTGGAGCGGGAGTAAATGATGGGTGGCTGTGGTGGGGGGACTGTTTGAGTTTGCCGTGGATGCACGAGGGGCATGGAGGGGCTGGAGAGGAAGGGAGGGGGGGGAGAGTAGGGGGGAGGCCGTGAAGGAGGCGAGAGGTGACGGCAGTGCGGAGAGCGGCGAAATTGGGGTGGCCGAGACGGTGGTGGAGCAGCACAGCGGGGTGGGAGAGATGTTTGGAGGTGGAGGGGGTTGGAGTGAGTGAGAGAGGGGGAGGTGACTGCTGCTGCTGCTCTTGCGGCTGCCGCTGCTGCTGCTGCTGCGGCCCCTGTTGCTGCCTCTGCGGCGGCGGCTGCTGCTGCTGTTGCTGCGGCCCCTGCTGCGGTGGCTGCTGTTGCTGCTGCTGCTGCTGCGGCCCCTGCTGCTGCCTCTGAGGCGGCTGCTGCTGCTGTGGCTGCCCCTGCTGTGGCGGCTGCTGCTGCTGCTGCTGATGCGGCCCCTGCTGCTGCCTCTGCGGCGGCGGCGGCTGCTGCTGCTGCTGCTGTGGCCCTTGCTGCTGCTGCTGCGGCCCCTGCTGGTGGCGTGGAGGTGAGGTAGGGGGATGGGGAGGGTTAGTGGAAGTGCCAGCACGAGTGGTGGCATGGCAGAAGGATGGCCAAGGGGTGCGGAGAGTGTAGAGGCGAGTGCGGGGGCAGAGGGGAATGCGTAGAAGGAAGCGACCAGTGGCGGTGTGGTAGAGGTCACAGTAGGTGGCATTACCTAGATAGACGGCAGTGATACCTGCAGTTTGGATTTCATGGTGGGAGAGGAGGTTGTTTCGGAGGGTGGGGATGTGGAGACCAGTTACCTTACCAGAGGGGAAGAGTGTGCAGGGGAGAGTGGAGAGGTGTGTGCATGGGATGGTAAAGCTGCTGTCAGCGCCGTGAACTTGCGTGGGAGGAGAGAGGGGTGTGAGTGTACCAGCATCCTTGAGAGCGGTCTCAGTGGCCCCACTATCGAGGACAAAGTCGAGAGTGGGTGAGGAGGAGGAAGAGACGGAGTACTGGAAAGTAGTTTCATTAACGGCGGATGGGTACATGGAAGAAAGTGAAGGTGAGATAGCAATGTTGCCAAGAAAGCTCTCCTGGGTAAGAGGAGGGGCAGTGCTACTAGGGGGTGGAGCACCCCAAAGGGGGGACGGGGAGGCTTGAGCGGCTATGGCAGCTGTGCCAAAATTCAGCTGCTGCTGCTGCCAAGGAGGAGGGCTGGGTCCCCACTGGGGTAGGAGTCCAGTTCCCCATGGGTGCGGCTGGGGCTGCGACTGCTGCTGCTGCTATGGCTGCTGATGAAACAGCTGCTGCTGCTGCTGTTGCTGCTGCTGCTGCTGTTGCTGCTGCTGCTGGTGCTGCTGCAGGATGTGCTGCTGTTGGAGATTGAGGAGCGGTGTGGGGGGAGCAAGGAGGTGGAGTTGGGCAGGGAGGTAAGCGGGGTTGGTTTGGATGTCGGCAAGGGAGGGACGTGGGGAGATCGTTCCCCACTTGGGAGGAGTGCCAACATTGCCCAGCGCGTACCAGGCATCATCGAGAGCCTTGAAGCAAGTGCTAGGGGGATGGTTTGTCTGCCCGCAGGGTGTTCCAGCCCGGGGACCATAGCGACGGACATAGGTGCAGGGCGGAAGAGTGCCAGGACGACTTCCGCGGCCTGCAGAGGCTCCGCCCGAATTAGTGGTGCCATGCTCATTCCCAGTGGCGCCGCCACGGCTGTTTGTGCTGCCGTTGCCCTGACCGCCACCTCCCTTGCCCCCACCTCCCCCTTTGTCGTTGTTCCGAGCCTGCTTGCGGGGCTGCGTAGCGTTGAGGGAGGAGGAGGAGGGTTGGGAGGAGGCGAGGTTGACAATGGGGGTGCGAAGTTGGACTTCGGTGTCTATGATCCACTGCTCAACGGAGGCGAGATCGGCCATTGGATTGGCGATGGATTTGGAGGGGTTCGGAGAGGCCAGCCTGGCGGGCTTCGAAGCGATCAGCTACTTCTCGCATACGTCCGACATAGTCGACCGCTCCGTCACATGTAGCGAGGGTGATTGAAAAGTACTCTTGAAAGAGGATGCCAACCGAGCCGATGTCGCGGCGTTCGAACATGGCATGGAGTTCTGCCCAAATGACCGAGGCACGGAGTTCCCGAGCCTGGAAGCGGCGCATAAGGGAGTCAAAGAGAGCACCGAGGAGAACGGTGCAGGCGCGGGTGTCAGCAGCTGTCCAGTCGATGAGGTTCGGGGTAAAGGTAGCCAAGTCGTCGTTATATTTGGCGACGACGGCAAGATGAGCATTGCGGCCAGCAACCGCCTGGTCATAGGCTTCAACTGCTGCATCGTACTCAGCTTTGCGGATAAGGTATGCACGGCGTCGTAAGATGAAGTCTGCATCAGCGGTGGCTTGGTCGACGGTGAGTTGGAGGTCGGGTTCACGAGGAGGATCGCCAGGAGAGGGAGGGAGAGGAGGGGTTTCGCCGGGGTGGTCAGGAGCGGTGGGGGGGAGAGCATGGGGACGGCGGAGGATGACGTCAAGGACGCGGTAGGGGGGAACCCATGCATCGGAGAGAACTCGACGAATGCTGCCGATGAAGGAGTGCCAGTTGACGGCGGATTTGTCCGCGGCGAGCTGCAGCTTATCGATAGAGGAGGTATCAATAGGAGGAGGGAGGGGGGAGGGTGTGGCGTGAGCCATGATGGACGGCCGCGGGTGGACCCGCAGTGGTCCCGGAGGGGCGTGAGGAGAGGCGGCGACGAGTCCGCGTAGGGGAAGGGCGCGGGCGGCAGCGGCTGTTGAGGCCGCGGGGCGCTGGCGCGGAGGCGGCGTCGAGGCCGCGGAGGGGGAGGGCGGTGGCAGCGACGGCTGGTGAGGCCGCGGCGGTGCTGGCGCGGAGGCGGCGTCGAGGCCGCGGAGTGGCGCGGGCGGCGGCTGGCGAGGCCACGGCGAGGCGCGGAGGCGGCGGCGAGGCCGCGGAGGGGAAGGGCGCGGGCTGCGGCGGCTGGCGAGGCCGCGGCGGCGCTGGTGCGGAGGCGGCGGCGAGGCCGCGGAGTGGCGCGGGCGGCGGCTAGCGAGGCCGCGGCGGCGCTGGCGCGGAGGCGGCGTCGAGGCCGCGGAGGGGAAGGGCGCGGGCTGCGGCGGCTGGCGAGGCCGCGGCGGCGCTGGCGCGGAGGCGGCGGCGAGGCCGCGGAGTGGCGCGGGCGGCGGCTGGCGAGGCCGCGGCGGTGCTGTCGCGGAGGCGGCGTCGAGGCCGCGGAGTGGCGCGGGCGGCGGCTGGTGAGGCCGCGGGGAGGCGCGGAGGCGGCGTCGAGGCCGCGGAGGGGAAGAGCGCGGGCGGCAGCGGCTGGTGAGGCCGCGGCGGTGCTGGCGCGGAGGCGGCGTCGAGGCCGCGGAAGAGAGTGGCGCGGGCTGCAGCGGCTTGGGAGGCCGTGGAGCTGCGGAGGAAAAAGGGCGCTACAGGGGGGAGGAAGGCGGCGGGATGGCCGAGAGGGGGAAAAAAAAATGAGGGAGGAGGCCGGGGGTTGTGGCGGCCGGGTGGGCTTTTTGTTTGAGAGAGGAGTAGGCCTAGGAATGACAGCTCTATACGACGTGAGAAGAGAGGTTGAAATGAAGTTGATGATATGATAGAGAAACAGGGGGGTATACATAGTAATGGGGTTGGATGCTAGCTTAAGGTGCCATTATTGGACCCTAACCAAGAGGTTGGGTTGGGAGATTATTGGTGGGGTCCAATAATGTTGGCCAAGTTGGGGTTGGGCCAACATTATTGGAGGGGGCCAATAATTCTACCCAACCCAATCTTTTGGGGTCCAATAATTGGACCAAGGTTGGGTTCCAACCTACAAACTGGGTTACCCCTGTTTGTACACCCAAACTAAGTTTGGATGCTTAACTCTAGCCTAACCTATAGCATATATGCAGGTTACAAGAGAAGAGGGATTCTAACACTGAGGTGTTTAGGATTCGCACACAGAAAAGCTCAGGCACGTGAGCACACAAACGTGCAACTCGCTTCTTAAAGCCCTGCCTGTCTGCCCACCGCATGTACATGCACAGCAGCATGTCCGCCCAGTCCGGTGATACATCGAACTGATACATGGGAAAATCAATCGCACGAGTACATCGAACTGTGTTTCTTAAAGCCCCGCCTGTCCGCCCACCACGTGTACATACGCAGGAGTATGTCCGCCCAGTCCTGAGGTATTTAGGATTCGCACACAAAAAAGCTCAGGCACGTGAGCACACAAACGTGCAACTCGCTTCTTAAAGCGCCGCCTGTCAACCCACCGCATGCAACTCTGCAACCCACACCTCACCGCACCGCACCGCACCACACCATACCGCCCTGCACCCCATCTCACCTGTGCGTCCATCCCCCCAGCACCCGCAGCAATGGTGAGCCGTGCACCCTTGCGGACGAACCGTCCTGCCAGCAGCTGAGCCACAGCATAGATCTTGATGTGCCCCTCATCCCGCCCACCACATCCCACCGCACTCCATTCCATCACACCCAATCTTACCTGGGCATCAGTCCCGCCTGCACCCGCAGCAATTGTAAGCCGAGCGCCCTTGCGGTCGAACTGCCCTGAGAGCAGCTGAGCCACAGCGTATCGCTCCATGTGCCCCCGCACCCACTGCAGCCCCTCCCTTGCCTCCGCGACCAGTGACGCGTCTGGTGTCTGCTCCGTTTCTAGCAGCTCCACTATAAGACACACCTCCTCCACCTGTTGGTGGTGTAGGGAAGGAGGGCGTGTGGATTCAAAAATCGGGAGTGCAATGAGATGAAGTGCGGTACAACAAGTGCAAGGATGTATGCCACCAGGCATGGAATTCGGAAATTGGTACAAATCAGATGTGGGTGGAGAATGAGAAAAGACAAGGCATCCCATATCAGTTCACCATGAGAGAACTTCAGATGGAAAGCTGGACAAGCAAGCTCAGAGCGTACACACTAGCCTTACGCCCCGCAATCCCCATACCCCCCTTTGCCACATGAACCGCCCTACCTTATCCGCAAACTCAACTTCTCTCACGCCGTCCTTGAGCTCTGTGAGCTGCGTCATCAGCCGCTAAAGGATGGCGTCACATCCCTGCCCTGCCTTCTTCCCCATGCCCTACCTTATCTGCAAACTCCTCGACTTCTCTCACGCCATCCTTGAGCTCTGTGAGCTGCGTCATCAGCTGTTGCGCCTGAGCTGGATCCTCCCACAGGTCCTCCCTTGCCACGTCACGCTCCAGGTCAGCAATGGCTGCGCGCTGACGTGGCACGTCGGCAGTGGCTCTGATGGCTGCTAGTTGCTCTTTAACTGTTTCTGCTTCTCGTCGAATCTCGTAAAACTCTGCAACGATCAGGGCGAGGGGGGGGGGGTAGGGGGGGGGGGGGGGGGAGATGGAGGAGGAAACGGAGAGGTGAGAAAAGGGACTCTTGAATCGACTCAAAAGTCACATCTTTAACCGCCTCTGCTTCTCGACGACTCTCGTAAAACTCTGAGACGATCAACACGAGGAGGAGGAGGAGAACTGGGGGGTCACTCTTGAGAGTTATCATAAGCAAAGAATCTCGTACAAATCTGTAACGATCCAAACAACGAGGAATGGGTGGTGAGATAGGAGAGAAGGGAGAGAGGGGAGGGGGGAGAGAGAATGGGGAAAGGAGTGGGGAAAGAGGGGGGAAATTGGGGAGGTGAGGGGGGGGGTGAGAGGCGGTGAGAGGGATTGAGAGAGGGTGAGGGGTTGGAATGTGGAGTGTGAGGGGAAAGATGGGAGGGCGGGGAGATGGGGATGGGGAGGAGAGGAGGGAATGTGGGTGACTGTGAGGAAACGACAAAAGGAGGTGCGGATGCGTCAGATTCACTCTTAACCGTCATTTTCACTTTCAATCCAGTTCAAAAGCGATATCCGCGATACTAGCAGCCCACATACGGTGCATTAGCTCTTCGCCCGGTTGAGCCGCCGCGGTGACCGGTCCAAGTCCAGCCGCTCGTTTCACGCCGTCGTCCAATCGCCGGCTGCCACGTCCGCTGCTGCTACTGGCGCCGCTGTTGCTGCTGCTCCATCTAATTCCGCAACCTTTCAACGAACTGGAGAGTTCTAATCTACTTGGACGATTAGGTATGTGGTCCTTATGTAGCCTGTCATTGGCGGATAGAGCGACGCGGTACGACGAGGCATCTGAAGAGGACCGTGCAAGCCCACTGACACGAGCTTCGCCACGCTGGCACGCGCTGACGTGGACTATGCCACGATGGCACACGTTCTCTGAGCCGCTCCGCGGACAGAATGAGCGGCTGCTGAGTTTGAGCGGTCCGGCGAGTCGCGTCGCGCGTAAGACTGTCGCCATGCTGGCGTACAGGCGAAACTAAACTCCACCGTTCATCGCATGATCAGTACGACTTGACAGCAGGACTGGACTGAACGCAGTCAAATCGAAATGCGACAGGAACTATGCTTACAGCCTTGCAATTGGAATTGCCAAATGAGCCGAGTACAAATTCGTAAGGAGCAGTTCCATACCATCAATCTCAAGGGGTTTGGCGATGCATTATAAAGGATATAAGAGGTTACACAGAAACATCCTTTATAGCACGAAAATGCACTTCGTTTCAGAGAAAGCTGGACGCTAATAACCTCTAGTATCTCACAAGCTCTACCAAGTTACAATGTGAGCTGGTAAATGGTTGAATTGCACACCCATTCCACTACAGAAAAGATCTGTGTCCTGCCGGTCTTGTGGCTTGATACAAACTGCATACTATATGCTTGTGGTACTGGTAAAAACACATTCGTTTTCAAGCAAAACCTGCTGATATATTCGTGCAGCATTACACAGTGGAAATGCAGCACTGACAACTTCACTACAATCTAGGCACGGGTGACATTCTCCTTTGTGCAAGAGCACAGGCTATTTGGGCACCCACACGGGCGTTGTTCTTCACTAGTGCTATGTCTGGAGGGAGACAAGGGTGGTAATAAGGGGGGTGGAGAGAGGGCAAGAGAAGGGAATAAAAGAAGATGATGAGAAGGACAGGGGATTCAGAAAAGAGGGGGTTGAGCTTTCTAAATCAGAAACTAAATGCAAGGGGACGCGAGGAGAAAAGACGTGGTGCATGTGAGGATGAGAAAAGGGATAGAGGATCAAATAAGTAAAAAGACAATCCATGGAATGAGAATCACAGGATTGATATGGCGTACTTGCAGTGAGTGACGCCCCTCCTGTCAGCTCCTTGATCCGCTTGAGCACAAATGGTGTCACCTGTGCACCCTTCACGCCCTGTGCGCTGTGAAAGGCAGCAGTTCAGGCGAAGATGCGGGGAGAGTAGGCATGGAAGAGAAGGAGGGGAACCGGGGGAGAAGAAACAGGAACAGAGTGATCGTGTTGATTCTTTGAAAAGCAAACGACCAGGTTCACAATCGTCACACATGGAAGCCAAGCTTGAAAACCGTGAGAAGAGAATGTGCAATCTACAACAGAAATTGGGGGAAGAGAAACAGGAACGGAATGATAGATTTGAGTGTTTGAGAAGCAAACGGCTTGGTTCACGATGCCTCACACATGGAAGCCAAGCACGAAAACCGTGAAAAGAGAAGAGCAGAGGAGAATGTGCAATTTCAGGGACAACTGAAATTCACGGTACACTAAACACCATGCATACCTGCTGCTGCCTCTGCTGCTGCTGCCAGCACGTGAGACATAGCTTCATCAACACCCCCTCCCAGCAAAGCACTCACTCTGCTTCGCCAAGGGCCTGCTGCGTTGCTCGCTCCACCTCCTCTGCCTCTGCTGTATCTGACAGCACGTCAGACTTAGCTTCATCCGAATCAGTAAAACACTCACTCTGCTTCGGCAAGGGCCTGCTGTGTAGCTCGCTCTACCTCCTCTGCCTCTGCTGCCTGCCCCTGGGGCACCGGCACTGCAATCACCATGCCACTGTTAAGCTTCATGCGGTGGTTGGTGTCTGTAGAGGGAGAGGGAGAGGGAGAGGGAGAGGGAGTGGGGAGCAACTGCGAGAGAATGTAAGCCTAGGTTCCTGGCAGCTTCTTCTGCCTCTGCTGCCTGGCCCTGGGGAGCCGGCACTGCAATCACCATGCCCCTGGTGACGTGCAGGCGGTGGTTGGCGTCTGAAGGGAGTGCGAAGGAGTGTGAGGGGGTGCAAAGGAGTGGTCTTTAGAGGCTTCGGCACTGCAATCGCCATGCAACTCGTGAGCTGCAAGCAGTGATTGGCGTCTGAAAGGAGTGCAGAGGAGTGTGAGTGTAAGTGGAGTGGGTTGAAATGCAGTGGGAGCGCATGGCGGAAATGGGAAAGGGCAGAGGGCACATAATAGTCACAATTGGGAAGCTGGAAAGGGAAAAAAAATGGGGTGAATCAGGTGGCAAGCTCTTTTGGACTTGGAGATATGGACAAGTGAAATGGGAGTGCATCGAGACTCAAGAAGAGAAGTGAAGCGGAACAGGAATATAAGTTTTCCTGAGGAGTTGCTTCGAACGTTAAAAAACAGGGGAAGAGAGGGCGAGAAGAGATGGTGCAAGGGCGCACCAATGAGAGCTGCACAGCTGGCAGGGTCGCTGAGAGTGGCGGGTGCCTGCAGGGTGGGAGAGGGAAGGAGAAGGGTTGAGTGAGGGGGAGATGGGGTGAGTGAGAGGGAGATGGGGTGAGTGGGAGGGAGATGGGGTGAGTGGGAGGGAGATGGGTTGAGTGAGAGGGAGATGGGGTGAGTGGGAGGGAGATGGGGTGGTGAGAGAGGGGAGCGTCGAGGCTGGTTTGAAAAAAAAAACGCTACTTCATTTCATATTATGCTAGTCCCACCCACACGTGTTGATAGGGAAAGAGGCACTGACAGGGCAGCCAGATGTTGCTGTGAAGAACGCTGGGAACTCCTTGGCACCGTACACCACCACTGTCACCCCTTGTGTCTCCTGTGCAGGGACGAGAGGTAGGAAAAAAGTAAAGGAGAAAGCTGAAAGCCTGAGAATAAGACACCAGAAGAATGGGAATTGGAACTTAATGGCACCTTGCACCACCACTGTCAGCACCTTACAGCACCACTGTCAGCACCTTTCACCACCACTATCAGCACCTTACACCACCACAGTCACTGTAGTGGGTCATGGGGAAGGAGAGGGGAGGACGGGAGAGGAGAGAATGGAAAGCCAGAGAATGGAAAGCCAGAGAATGGAAAGCCAGAGAATACGCTATGATAGATGGAAAGCAGGTACACCAAGGAATGCACTATGCCTTCATCCCCGCACGCACACGCACGCACGCACACGCACACACGCACGCACGCACGCACGCTCACACGCACGCACGCACGCACGCACGCACACACACACACACACACACACACACACACACACACACCACGGCCACAGAGAGTCCAAGCGTCAGCAGGTGTTTTAGAGTGCAAGCGATGACTTCACTTCCTCACAACCCCACTCACGAGGTATTCAAGAGTGCGGGGAATATCGAGCACTGACTTGACTCCCGCACACACCACAGCCACAGGCGTGCGACCCAACTCCGTGAGATCAGATGAGATGTCCATCGCTGGCGGGGGCATGGGGGGGTGGGGAGGGGGAAGGGGATGGGGAAGGGGACGGGCAAGAGAAACGGGGAAAGGAAAGGGAAAAAGGGGATGGGGAAACGAAAGGGGAAAGGGAAGGTGGACGAGGAAGCGAGCGGACGGACGCGGAAGGTGGAGTGTGGAAGAGGAGTGAAAAGGAGTGAAGAGGAGTGAAGAACGGTGAAGAGGAGTGGGGCAGACGGGCTTCCAGGTTGACTTTTGAGTCGAGTCATAAGCGCGGGCGGGGAGATGGAATGCTGGTCTGTTGACATCCCGAGAGTGACGTCGTTTGGTCTGTAGACATCCCAAGAGTGACGTCGTTTGGCCTGTAGACATCCCGAGAGTGACGTCGTTTGGTCTGTAGACATCCCAAGAGTGACGTCGTTTGGCCTGTAGACATCCCGAGAGTGACGTCGTTTGGTCTGCGGACATCCCGAGAGTGACGTCGTTTGGTCTGTAGACATCCCACAGAATGCTGGTAAGGTTTGTCTCCGTGGATGAACGACCTCAGTCTCGGGATATCTACTGCCCTTGCCCACAGTTATCTCCCACTCCCCCATCACTGCTCTCCCCCTCTCCCCTTACTCCCCTTCCCTCTCCCCTTACTCCCCTTCCCCTCCCCCCTTACTCCCCTCCCCCTCTACCCTTGCTTCTTTTCCTCTCTTTCTTAGCTTCTCCCCGTTCCTCTCTGCTTACTGCTCTCTCCCCCTCGGTGCACGCCTCCTATGCCTCCTGTCACAAACACAGGGATGCCCACCTGCAGTGTGGACACGGAAAAAGCAGAGACATGGAAGGGGGTTGAAGGAAAGAGGGGCAGTGAGCACAAAATTACGCACTCTCTGCTTACTGATCTCTCCCCCTCGGTGCACACCTCCTATGCCTCCTGTCACAAACACCAGTATTCCCACCTGTGGTGTGGACACGGAAAGAAGGAAAGGAAGGAAGCGAAGAAGTGAGCACAAACAAGCGCTCTCCCCTGACTGCCCTCCCCCCTCTGTCTGTGCTCTCACCCCCCTTCGATGCACGCCGCCAATGCCCCCCGTAGCAAACACGGGGATGCCCACCTGTGAACATGGTAAGGGGGGAGACACGGAAATGAGCGGGTATGGGAAAGAGACAGGTACGGAAAGGAGGCAGGTACGAAAAAGAGGCAGGTACGGAAAGGAGGCAGGCAGGCATGGAAAAGAGGCAACACAGTGGCAGAAAAAGTGGTTTGAAAAGATGTGCAGTATGCATCACACTGCCTGCGGTGGCTCCTCTTTGCACACAAGCACGCACTGTTGCATGCAAAGCACACGCTGCCTGTGGTGCGCAAAGCACACAAACACCCACTGCACGCACTGTTGCACACAAAGAACACAAACACCCACTGCACGCACTGTTGCACACAAGGCACACAAACACCCACTGCACACACTGTTGCACACAAAGCACACAAACACCCACTGCACGCACTGTTGCACACAAGGCACACAAACACCCACTGCACGCACTGTTGCACACAAACACCCACTGCACGCACTGTTGCACACAAAGCACACAAACACCCACTGCACGCACTGTTGCACACAAGGCACACAAACACCCACTGCACGCACTGTTGCACACAAAGCACACAAACACCCACTGCACGCACTGTTGCACACAAAGAACACAAACACCCACTGCACGCACTGTTGCACACAAGGCACACAAACACCCACTGCACGCACTGTTGCACACAAAGCACACAAACACCCACTGCACGCACTGTTGCACACAAGGCACACAAACACCCACTGCACGCACTGTTGCACACAAAGCACACAAACACCCACTGCACGCACTGTTGCACACAAAGCACACAAACACCCACTGCACGCACTGTTGCACACAAGGCACACAAACACCCACTGCACGCACTGTTGCACACAAAGCACACAAACACCCACTGCACGCACTGTTGCACACAAAGCACACAAACACCCACTGCACGCACTGTTTCACACAAAGCACACAAACACTCACTGCACGCACTGTTGCACACAAAGCACACAAACACCCACTGCACGCACTGTTGCACACAAAGCACACAAACACCCACTGCACGCACTGTTGCACACAAAGCACACAAACACCCACTGCACGCACTGTTGCACACAAAGCACACAAACACCCACTGCACGCACTGTTGCACACAAAGCACACAAACACCCACTGCACGCACTGTTGCACACAAAGCACACAAACACCCACTGCACGCACTGTTGCACACAAAGCACACGCTGCCTGTGGTAAACACGCTGCCTGTGGTAAACACGCTGCCTGTGGTCAACACGCTGCACGGTATGATGCATCGAAGATGTGCAGTATGCATCACACTGCCTGCGGTGGCTCCTGTTTCCACCCAAGCACGCACTGTTGCGTGCAAAGCACACGCTGCCAGTGGTGCGCAAAGCACACAAACACCAAGGTAAACACACAAACACCAAGCTAAACACACAAACACCAAGGTAAACACACAAACACCAAGGTAAACACACAAACACCAAGGTAAACACACAAACACCAAGGTAAACACACAAACACCAAGGTAAACACACAAACACCAAGGTAAACACACAAACACCAAGGTAAACACACAAACACCAAGGTAAACACACAAACACCAAGGTAAACACACAAACACCAAGGTAAACACACAAACACCAAGGTAAACACACAAACACCAAGGTAAACACACAAACACCAAGGTAAACACACAAACACCAAGGTAAACACACAAACACCAAGGTAAACACACAAACACCAAGGTAAACACACAAACACCAAGGTAAACACACAAACACCAAGGTAAACACACAAAACACCAAGGTAAACACACAAACACCAAGGTAAACACACAAACACCAAGGTAAACACACAAACACCAAGGTAAACACACAAACACCAAGGTAAACACACAAACACCAAGGTAAACACACAAACACCAAGGTAAACACACAAACACCAAGGTAAACACACAAACACCAAGGTAAACACACAAACACCAAGGTAAACACACAAACACCAAGGTAAACACACAAACACCAAGGTAAACACACAAACACCAAGGTAAACACACAAACACCAAGGTAAACACACAAACACCAAGGTAAACACACAAACACCAAGGTAAACACACAAACACCAAGGTAAACACACAAACACCAAGGTAAACACACAAACACCAAGGTAAACACACAAACACCAAGGTAAACACACAAACACCAAGGTAAACACACAAACACCAAGGTAAACACACAAACACCAAGGTAAACACACAAACACCAAGGTAAACACACAAACACCAAGGTAAACACACAAACACCAAGGTAAACACACAAACACCAAGGTAAACACACAAACACCAAGGTAAACACACAAACACCAAGGTAAACACACAAACACCAAGGTAAACACACAAACACCAAGGTAAACACACAAACACCAAGGTAAACACACAAACACCAAGGTAAACACACAAACACCAAGGTAAACACACAAACACCAAGGTAAACACACAAACACCAAGGTAAACACACAAACACCAAGGTAACACACAAACACAAGGTAAACACACAAACCAGGTAACACACAAACACCAAGGTAAACACACAAACACCAAGGTAAACACACAAACACCAAGGTAAACACACAAACACCAAGGTAAACACACAAACACCAAGGTAAACACACAAACACCAAGGTAAACACACTGCACGGTATGATGCATCAACACGCCACCTTGTGAGCGAGCGGCATGGTGGCCGATACAGTGGTGGCTCCTGTCAGGCCTTGAGACACCTGTGGGGCAGAAAGAAGAAGAGAAGGGAAAGGAATTTTCCTAATGGTTTTGAGCATGTCTTAAAAAGAAGTAATGGAGGTGGCCGACACACAGAGGTGGATACTGAGACGCCTCAGTATCCAGTGGGTGGCTCAGTCCGCCGCCTCAGTATCCAGTGGGTGGCTCAGTCCGCCGCCTCAGTATCCAGTGGGTGGCTCAGTCCGCCGCCTCAGTATCCAGTGGGTGGCTCAGTCCGCCGCCTCAGTATCCAGTGGGTGGCTCAGTCCGCCGCCTCAGTATCCAGTGGGTGGCTCAGTCCGCCACCTCAGTATCCAGTGGGTGGCTCAGTCCGCCGCCTCAGTATCCACCTCTGTGTGTCGGCCGCTTAAGACACGCCCCATCACGCCACCACGCCCCACCACGCCCTACCACGCCACCATGCATCACCACGCATCACCACGCCTCACCACGCATCACCACGCCTCACCACGCATCACCACGCCTCACCACGAGAGCCACGTCTCGTCTGGCAGTCTTCACAGCAGCATGGCCGTCCCGTGCCAGGTGCTGCAGCTGAGAAGCGGTCAGCCCTGCAAGGGACAAGGCGAGAGAAAATGATTAGGGGGAAATAGGAGGGTGACCACCCACACTCCCCCCTTGCACAAGCAAACTCAAGTGAAATGCACGCTCACTCGCTCACCTATGCATGGCCGGCGTGTATGAAGAAGTGTTTTGAGACGTCTCAAAACACTTCTTCATGCACGTGGAAATGCAGGCTCACTCGCTCACCTATGCACGGCCGGCCGTCAATGATGGCAATGGTGGCCGGCACTGCCCCCTCCCTCCGAATAATACCCTCCACGCCCTCTGCTGCATGCAGGCTCTGTGGGTATGGCATGCCTAGGGTGGTGGGGGGAGAGAATGGGGAGGAAGGAAAGGCAAGGCGTGAGGGGGAGGCGAGGGCAGCCAGCAGTGATGGCGATGGTGGCCGGCACTGCCCTCTCCTTCCAAATAATACCCTCCTCGCCCTCTGCTGCCTGCAGGTTCTGTGGGTATGGCATGCCTGGATGGGGGAAAAAGACAGACCAGGAAAGGGGAGTAAAGAGAAGGATGGGGAGGAGAAATTATTGCACCACTCCTCCACCTCTGCTGCCTGAAGGTTTTGTGGGTACGGCATGCCTTGTAGGGGAGAGGCAAGGAAAAGGGGGAGAGGTGTGAGGGGGAGGTGAGGGCAGCCAGCAGTGATGGCGATGGTGGCCGGCACTGCCCTCTCCTTCCAAATAATACCCTCCTCGCCCTCTGCTGCCTGCAGGTTCTGTGGGTATGGCATGCCTGGATGGGGCGAGAGGCAGAGGCAGGGAAAAGGGGGAACTGGGAAGGAATGAGGCAGGATAGGTGGATGGCACATCCCCCTCCTGGTGAGTACTATCCTGCACCCCCTCTGCTGCCAGCAGATTCTGAGGGTACGGCATGGCATGCCTTGGTGGGGCGAGAGGCAGAGGCAGGGAAAAGGGGGAACTGGGAAGGAATGAGGCAGGATAGGTGGATGGCACATCCCCCTCCTGGTGAGTACTATCCTGCACCCCCTCTGCTGCCAGCAGATTCTGAGGGTACGGCATGGCATGCCTTGGTGGGGCGAGAGGCAGAGGCAGGGAAAAGGGGGAACTGGGAAGGAATGAGGCAGGATAGGTGGATGGCACATCCCCCTCCTGGTGAGTACTATCCTGCACCCCCTCTGCTGCCAGCAGATTCTGAGGGTACGGCATGGCATGCCTTGGTGGGGCGAGAGGCAGAGGCAGGGAAAAGGGGGAACTGGGAAGGAATGAGGCAGGATAGGTGGATGGCACATCCCCCTCCTGGTGAGTACTATCCTGCACCCCCTCTGCTGCCAGCAGATTCTGAGGGTACGGCATGGCATGCCTTGGTGGGGCGAGAGGCAGAGGCAGGGAAAAGGGGGAACTGGGAAGGAATGAGGCAGGATAGGTGGATGGCACATCCCCCTCCTGGTGAGTACTATCCTGCACCCCCTCTGCTGCCAGCAGATTCTGAGGGTACGGCATGGCATGCCTTGGTGGGGCGAGAGGCAGAGGCAGGGAAAAGGGGGAACTGGGAAGGAATGAGGCAGGATAGGTGGATGGCACATCCCCCTCCTGGTGAGTACTATCCTGCACCCCCTCTGCTGCCAGCAGATTCTGAGGGTACGGCATGGCATGCCTTGGTGGGGCGAGAGGCAGAGGCAGGGAAAAGGGGGAACTGGGAAGGAATGAGGCAGGATAGGTGGATGGCACATCCCCCTCCTGGTGAGTACTATCCTGCACCCCCTCTGCTGCCAGCAGATTCTGAGGGTACGGCATGGCATGCCTTGGTGGGGCGAGAGGCAGAGGCAGGGAAAAGGGGGAACTGGGAAGGAATGAGGCAGGATAGGTGGATGGCACATCCCCCTCCTGGTGAGTACTATCCTGCACCCCCTCTGCTGCCAGCAGATTCTGAGGGTACGGCATGGCATGCCTTGGTGGGGCGAGAGGCAGAGGCAGGGAAAAGGGGGAACTGGGAAGGAATGAGGCAGGATAGGTGGATGGCACATCCCCCTCCTGGTGAGTACTATCCTGCACCCCCTCTGCTGCCAGCAGATTCTGAGGGTACGGCATGGCATGCCTTGGTGGGGCGAGAGGCAGAGGCAGGGAAAAGGGGGAACTGGGAAGGAATGAGGCAGGATAGGTGGATGGCACATCCCCCTCCTGGTGAGTACTATCCTGCACCCCCTCTGCTGCCAGCAGATTCTGAGGGTACGGCATGGCATGCCTTGGTGGGGCGAGAGGCAGAGGCAGGGAAAAGGGGGAACTGGGAAGGAATGAGGCAGGATAGGTGGATGGCACATCCCCCTCCTGGTGAGTACTATCCTGCACCCCCTCTGCTGCCAGCAGATTCTGAGGGTACGGCATGGCATGCCTTGGTGGGGCGAGAGGCAGAGGCAGGGAAAAGGGGGAACTGGGAAGGAATGAGGCAGGATAGGTGGATGGCACATCCCCCTCCTGGTGAGTACTATCCTGCACCCCCTCTGCTGCCAGCAGATTCTGAGGGTACGGCATGGCATGCCTTGGTGGGGCGAGAGGCAGAGGCAGGGAAAAGGGGGAACTGGGAAGGAATGAGGCAGGATAGGTGGATGGCACATCCCCCTCCTGGTGAGTACTATCCTGCACCCCCTCTGCTGCCAGCAGATTCTGAGGGTACGGCATGGCATGCCTTGGTGGGGCGAGAGGCAGAGGCAGGGAAAAGGGGGAACTGGGAAGGAATGAGGCAGGATAGGTGGATGGCACATCCCCCTCCTGGTGAGTACTATCCTGCACCCCCTCTGCTGCCAGCAGATTCTGAGGGTACGGCATGGCATGCCTTGGTGGGGCGAGAGGCAGAGGCAGGGAAAAGGGGGAACTGGGAAGGAATGAGGCAGGATAGGTGGATGGCACATCCCCCTCCTGGTGAGTACTATCCTGCACCCCCTCTGCTGCCAGCAGATTCTGAGGGTACGGCATGGCATGCCTTGGTGGGGCGAGAGGCAGAGGCAGGGAAAAGGGGGAACTGGGAAGGAATGAGGCAGGATAGGTGGATGGCACATCCCCCTCCTGGTGAGTACTATCCTGCACCCCCTCTGCTGCCAGCAGATTCTGAGGGTACGGCATGGCATGCCTTGGTGGGGCGAGAGGCAGAGGCAGGGAAAAGGGGGAACTGGGAAGGAATGAGGCAGGATAGGTGGATGGCACATCCCCCTCCTGGTGAGTACTATCCTGCACCCCCTCTGCTGCCAGCAGATTCTGAGGGTACGGCATGGCATGCCTTGGTGGGGCGAGAGGCAGAGGCAGGGAAAAGGGGGAACTGGGAAGGAATGAGGCAGGATAGGTGGATGGCACATCCCCCTCCTGGTGAGTACTATCCTGCACCCCCTCTGCTGCCAGCAGATTCTGAGGGTACGGCATGGCATGCCTTGGTGGGGCGAGAGGCAGAGGCAGGGAAAAGGGGGAACTGGGAAGGAATGAGGCAGGATAGGTGGATGGCACATCCCCCTCCTGGTGAGTACTATCCTGCACCCCCTCTGCTGCCAGCAGATTCTGAGGGTACGGCATGGCATGCCTTGGTGGGGCGAGAGGCAGAGGCAGGGAAAAGGGGGAACTGGGAAGGAATGAGGCAGGATAGGTGGATGGCACATCCCCCTCCTGGTGAGTACTATCCTGCACCCCCTCTGCTGCCAGCAGATTCTGAGGGTACGGCATGGCATGCCTTGGTGGGGCGAGAGGCAGAGGCAGGGAAAAGGGGGAACTGGGAAGGAATGAGGCAGGATAGGTGGATGGCACATCCCCCTCCTGGTGAGTACTATCCTGCACCCCCTCTGCTGCCAGCAGATTCTGAGGGTACGGCATGGCATGCCTTGGTGGGGCGAGAGGCAGAGGCAGGGAAAAGGGGGAACTGGGAAGGAATGAGGCAGGATAGGTGGATGGCACATCCCCCTCCTGGTGAGTACTATCCTGCACCCCCTCTGCTGCCAGCAGATTCTGAGGGTACGGCATGGCATGCCTTGGTGGGGCGAGAGGCAGAGGCAGGGAAAAGGGGGAACTGGGAAGGAATGAGGCAGGATAGGTGGATGGCACATCCCCCTCCTGGTGAGTACTATCCTGCACCCCCTCTGCTGCCAGCAGATTCTGAGGGTACGGCATGGCATGCCTTGGTGGGGCGAGAGGCAGAGGCAGGGAAAAGGGGGAACTGGGAAGGAATGAGGCAGGATAGGTGGATGGCACATCCCCCTCCTGGTGAGTACTATCCTGCACCCCCTCTGCTGCCAGCAGATTCTGAGGGTACGGCATGGCATGCCTTGGTGGGGCGAGAGGCAGAGGCAGGGAAAAGGGGGAACTGGGAAGGAATGAGGCAGGATAGGTGGATGGCACATCCCCCTCCTGGTGAGTACTATCCTGCACCCCCTCTGCTGCCAGCAGATTCTGAGGGTACGGCATGGCATGCCTTGGTGGGGCGAGAGGCAGAGGCAGGGAAAAGGGGGAACTGGGAAGGAATGAGGCAGGATAGGTGGATGGCACATCCCCCTCCTGGTGAGTACTATCCTGCACCCCCTCTGCTGCCAGCAGATTCTGAGGGTACGGCATGGCATGCCTTGGTGGGGCGAGAGGCAGAGGCAGGGAAAAGGGGGAACTGGGAAGGAATGAGGCAGGATAGGTGGATGGCACATCCCCCTCCTGGCGAATAATATCCTCCACGCCCTCTGCTGCCTGCAGATTCTGAGGGTACGGCATGCCTTGGGGAGAACAGGGAAACGGGGGAGGCGGGGGGAGAGGTAGGAGAGGTGTAAGGGAGAGGTGGGGGTAATGGTGGCAATGGTGGCCGGCCAGCACACCCCCCTCCTGGCGAATAATATCCTCCACACCCCCCTCCTGGCGAATAATATCCTCCACGCCCGCTGCTGCTTGCACATTCTGTGGGTACGGCATGCCTGGGTTGGTGAGAGAGGGAAAGGGGGAGGAAAGAGAAGGATGGGGAGGAGGATAAATATGCACCACTCCGCAAAACCTTCTACTGCCACCATGCCTTGGTGGCGACAGGGGGAAGTCACGTGATAGAAGATTTTTTTTTTTTTTTTTTTTTTTTTTTTTTTTTTCCAGACGTCTTAGAAGCATGCGTTGATGGCGACGGGAGGAAGGCGGACGGGAGAGGTATGGGAGCTAGAACGACAGGGAGATGAACAGATGGCAGGCCAATAAGCGTTTTTTCCTCTCTTTTTTCTACAGAAAACTATTCTTTCTGCTTGATGCGAGGCTGCTGCCACTCTTCCCCACCTTATGTGCACATATCTGCACGAACCTTCAGTACCGAGTCAGAGACGGAGAAGAACGGACTTCCACAGGACCTGCGACTGGCAGGGTAATTATAAAAATTCTTAGAACCACCCCGCAAAACAAACGGCTAGACACGAAGGTGAGGTCCTACCAGTTCCAGGGGGCGATTCACCGTGCCACACTGCCAAATTCCGCGGACCGCGCAGCACAGCGGATGGCACTGGCCTGATGAGCCTGCAGCGCAGCGCTGCACCACACTAAACCGCAGCGTACCATGACAAATGATGGTCGATTCTAGCGCCACGACAGGCCGTCCTCCGAGCAACGCGCGTTTCACTTCGGCCGACAGCGTGATCCCCGCCGCCTCTGCCGCCGCCACTCGCGCTGCCGCCTCGTCTGATACTGTCGCTGACATTCCTGATGCGGGAGCGCTACTCGACAAAAGAGCTTGATAGAATAGAGTCCCGGCAACCAAATTTGAGCGATGGGTGGATGGGCCAAGAATGCACACTACGATTTGAGGGCCGTGCTGGTGCCAGGCGTCCTGATTTCCTGGTTCTAAACAGGGCACAAAGACGGGTGTACTGGTTTGCGTCTCTGACGAATGCAGCTGAGCAGAGTGCACTGTCAGGTTTCGGATAGGAATTCTGGGGAGTGAAGCATGTCTATTATCGCGTACGCGGACGAGCAGATTTCGTTCGACTCGCGTGTTCGTCTAAAATAGCAGCAGGAGAAAAAGGGCAACAAGAAAACCAGGATATTTTGTGAATTGCTGCCAACGTTGGTTCGCACCCACAGTACAGTACCGGTAACTTCCTGAGCAGAGGCAGAATGCGCAAACAATCGCAACATTTACATCTGCTCATGACTGCATATTTGACGGCAACTCGTTCATTATCAAAAGTACCTACATCGAAAGCAGCACCTCATATATATGAGCATTGCGCTATAACTGCAGAAGCACAACTGAACAGTGATCTATGTAGTGCTGTACAAAATCAACTTTCCAAAGCCTTGGAAGCGAAACGTGTTACTTAGTAACGGTCATCATATGATCTCTCTTTGCGGTCTCCGCCACCAGATCTGTCATAGGGACCAGACCTGGGCCTACCGCCACCGCCACCACGGTCAGACCCATAACGGCCTCCGCCGCCGCCACCGCCGTAGCCGCCACCGCCACCACCGCCATAACCGCCACCACCGCCGCCTCCACTAGGGCACTCGCGGGCGAAATGGCCGTCTTCGCCGCACTTGTAGCAGCCACCGCCGCCGCCGCCTCCGCCTCCGCGGTCCCTTGAGCCGTATCCACCACCGCCGCCGCGATCACCACCGTATCCGCCACCACCGCCGCCATAACCGCCGCCGCCGCCGCCATAGCCGCCACCACCGCTGCGGCCACCTCCACTTCCACGAGGTTGGGCGACGTTGACGGTGATAGTCCGGCCGTCAAGTTCCTTGCCGTTCATGGCCTTGATAGCATCGTCCATGCCGGCCTTGTCGTTGAAAGTCACAAATCCAAACCCTCGGGAGCGGCCGGTTTCTCGGTCATTCACAACCTGAACAGGACGGTTTCCATCGCAACGAGCTCAGGTAAAGAGTTTCCGAACATAAGAACCCCGAACGCGCAGTAAAGCTCCCTCATATCATAACACGGAACCCCGCCATGCATGCTTCGTCAGAAATCCGCCAATCAGGCGTCGTTAAACCCCGTCAATCAATGTCCAGGAGCAGAAGATCCAGACCGAAACATTAAATCGGCGAGGCCGGTAGCGCGCAAAAAGGTAACCCATGAAGTTTCCGAAAGTCACAATCATCGAACCTTAGCGTCAACAGCTCCATAGTCGTGGAAAGCATCCGAAAGAGCGCGGTCATCCGTGCCCCACGAGAGGCCACCCACAAAGCAGCGGAGCTCCTCGTCACTCATACTGAATCAAGCTGACTGCTGCAAGAACAGAGATCAGGTCAAGCGCAATGACAGAACACAACGTTCAGCTCTCGTTGCTGAAGTTGCTGTTGCAGATGCCGCTGGTGACAAGGTATTAGTGGAAGTGCCTCTGTTGAGAAGCGAAATGAGGGTTTTGGTAAAATTGCTCCAGATTTGTATTGCGTCCCCTGGCTAGAAGAGGTGGAAGAGGTTGTGGGGGTTGGAGGTTGGAGAATAATGGAATATCAGGGTCACAGAAGCTGGACGATCGTCGATCTACAATCCCATGAAGTTCCTCGGACGGCTTAGATCACATCGAGTCATCTAGGTATTCGTTGTGACGCGAGCCTAAACTCTTTACACGCTGGCTCGGCATGGGAACCACTTTCACGAGGGAGGCTGTTGCCTACTTTGCGCTGGCTTGTGACCAATCAGGTGAATTCCCTGAAAGTATCTTCTGGGGTGTGGTGTGCTCTGGTGTGTTGTGCTGCTCTGGAGCTTTCGAACGTGAAAAGCTTTGGTTGAAATTGAGATTAGGATACACTATCTGGCTTATTTAACGCTATACGTCGGAATGGTGAATGTTCAAGATAATAAAATTCAGACTCTCAAATTACATAGATCAAATGCTTTAGAATTCGGAATAGTCCGTTTTTACCAATCAAATCGTGATACCACGCTATCTTAATAGCATCTACCTTTCCAGTATAGTTCTAATTTTACGTAATCTGCGCTATTTACACGCCTAAAATATGAAATTATCATTCTATTTCTAAATATACATCACATGGACTAACGCTTGATCTGTAATATAAAAAACCTAATATTCCTTTGTTGTCTTGCACTGATTGAAGTGAACATCCTCGCTACAGACACAGTGCGGAAATCCATTCCGAAACGAGGCTTCGACCATCCCCTCTCTTCCTCTCCGCCCTCTTCTTCAGGACCTCCTCCAACCAAAAGCCTCCTTTCTTCTTACCTCCCTTTCCCTTCTAACTCCGAGGCTTGTCACCTCATTTCCCACCTCGTCTCATCACCTCACCCTCGTCGCACCGCATCCAGTCGCCACCATGGGGTGAGTTATTATCCCTTAATATATATGGCGTTATTGAGGCGTTGTGCGGTTTGCAACCTCCAAACGGAGCTGTGTAGCGAGATGACAGGTCTAGGGTTTTAAAGTATCATGGCAGGACGTTCGTGCTGAACGTTTCATTTGCCGAAGCAAGGGCCATGGGTAACGATTGCATTCGCGTGGCTCCTAACATTTTCAAATCCGTTGCACGTAATTGCACAAACTGGCTCTCGAATCACGGATTTGAGTTCCGACTCCATGTTTTCTTTCTTTCTTTTCTTAACCGTTGCACAATACCGTTCCCACACGATTCTCGCTCTACGGATTCGTTCTTCGGGGCTGTTAGATCCAGTCCCGCTTAGTTAAATCCGAACCCTAAAAGGACCTAGCGATACAACTTCAGTGTTTCGTTAGGCACAGCCTCCTGTGGTTCAAGTTAGTATAGCATCAATGATCAACGTTCATTATTACGCAGTAGTTAGCGCTTCATAGTTACGGTCGAAGTTGACCTCGTAGTCAGGCCATGTGGTATCTCAGTACCGATACCATGCCAGGTGGAAATCCTTGTGCCGCTGATCCTCGTGGCGTGGTTGGCATCATCTGGCGTCATTGTCAACTGCTCCTTGTTACGGGCCGTGTGGCCCGGTTCCCGCGGCTTCTGTGTTCGCTCCCAATGCTGCGGACTTTGCTTTCTGTTCTTGTTCGCTCCCCCCAAATCCATCCCCGCGTGTGTCCGCGCAGTAAGACGCGTGGTATGGGAGCCGGGCGCAAGCTGCGCAACCACCGGCGCAACCAGCTGTGGGCGGACAAGCAGTACAAGAAGAGCCACCAGGGCAACGAGTGGAAGAAACCCTTCATGGGCTCGTCTCACGCCAAGGGCATCGTGCTCGAGAAGATGTAATTTCCTTTTTCCAACGTGTTTCCCCGGTTCCGCACTTGCTCTTTCTGTTTCGCATGTCGTCTTATGCTTGTGGGCCCCTCTTCTCGCACGCCAAGGGCATCGTGCTTGATAAGATGTAAAACACTTTTCACCAGTGGCTTTTTCTTGCCTAGCAGCCCAACTCCGCCATTCGCAAGTGCGCCCGAGTGCAGCTGGTTAAGAACGGCAACAAGACTTAGCACCCCCTCCTTTCGCCCCTCTCCCTATCGCTCCTTATCTGTCCCTCTTTCTCAGTGGTATTGAGGCGAAGCAGCCTAACTCCGCTATTCGTAAGTGCGCGCGAGTGCAGCTGATCAAGAACGGCAAGAAGATCGCCGCGTTCGTGCCCAACGACGGTTGCCTCAACTTCATCGAGGAGAACGTGAGTGTAACGGGGAGGGGGGAGAGGGGAGGGGGGGTTCTAGGGAGAAACGTGAGTGTAACGGAGGGGCGGGGAGGCGAGGGGAGGGGGGGTGTGCTGGGTTGGTTTCAGAAGATCGCCGCGTTGGTGCCCAACGACGGTTGCCTCAACTTCATTGAGGACAACGTGAGTGCTGTGGCGGAAAGGTGGGGGAGAGGGGGGGAGGAGGGGGGAGGGGAAAGGAGGAAGGGGTGTCAGGATACAACGCAAACGTGATTGTAACGGGGGTGGGAGGCTAGGGTGATTCCAGAAGATCGACGCGCTCTTGCCAAGAATTGCTGCCTTCACTGCATCGAGGAGAGCGTGAGAGGCCACCAGGCGTCCAGGTGGCGGACTAAGGGAAAATAACTTGGACTGGCAGTGAGTACGCTGAGTGCCTTCATGTTTCTGCCTCCAGATTCCAGAACGAGGTGCTTATGGTCGTCCCCATCCCATCCCTCCCCCCCTCGCCTTCCCCTCCCTCCCACTTCTCCCTCACTCCCACTTCTCCCTCACTCCCACTTCTCCCTCACATCCCTTCCACCTTTCCATTCCGCCCTCTCCATTCCTCTCCTTTCACCCCAACAGGACGAAGTGCTCATTGCCGGATTCGGACGTAAGGGGCACGCTGTGGGAGATATTCCCGGTGTGCGGTTCAAAGTGGTGAAGGTGTCCGGTGTGTCGCTGCTCGCTCTCTTCAAGGAGAAGAAAGAGAAGCCCCGGTCTTAGATGTGTAAAGGGTTTATTGTGATTGTAACAGATGTGATCATCATTTGATGTAATTCCACGCGTATTTGAATTCAAAGCTGCACGCGTTGCTTGGTCTAGGGCAGCGATCATCTTTGGTGGTGCAAGGCCTTCAGTCATGCATGAGCATTGTAGAGAACATACCGTATCCAATTTCTGACCGCTAGCCGATTCAGCCCACCCAAGCAAGGCTAATGGGACAGAAGGGCGATGAGAACAAACTGTTTAACAACTTTCTTACGCAACAACTTTTGGGCTCCAAGAGTCTGCACATGCTGCACACAACTTTGCTGATTATCATTAGGACCCAATAACGCGTACAGTTGCTGGTTTCGAATCTCGCTCAAGCCACGATGGAGCAGCCATTGCCTGTCGTAACTGACAAGTTTACCGGCATCTCTAATCACTTCCCGTTCAATTCTGACGCTCTTGTCGCGCCGGAATAGCCGCTAAGCTTGTAGCATGCTACTTCTCGCTACGATCGTGATTCGTGAGAGGTAGTCGTTTAAACCATCAGATCTCGATTCGGATTAGCGGCGAACTACCGGCACGTTATCATCGACTGGAACCCGGTCTACTGGTGCCCCCATGGCTAGTAGTGCCACGTCAGACGGCTCATCTCCCTCTGCAGCCACGTCATCCTCCGCGTCATTCTCGGAGCCTGCCTCGCTGCTGGAGTACGAAGAGCAACTGCTGACGTGGCTTCGACAGTTTTCCGACGAGCTCGCGAGTCGTATCACCGAGATCGACGGCCGGATCGACGGCCTGCTGATCGACGCGACTCGGGTGGACGCGAAGCTTCGTGTGGCCGAGGCGAAGCTGCAGTGCGCTCCCGTGATTCGCGGCGCCGTTCACGTGAGTTACAGCACGAGTCGTGATAAGCAGCCCCTTTTTGTCATGTTTTTAGACGTCTCAATACTTTCGTCTCCCCCCTGCCTCTGTCAAGCAGACCATCTCAATCCCAAAGCAGCCGCGCACAAGTCAGGCGCAAGGCGAGCTTAGCGGGAGGACGGGGATGTCTACAGCGAGGATATCAATTGCTCAGAAGAAGCGGAACGAGAAACAGAAAGAGAAGCAAAAGGAGGAGCAGAAAGAGAAGCAGAAGGAGAAGCAAAAGGAGGAGCAGAAAGAGAAGCAGAAGGAGAAGCAAAAGGATAGACAGAAGGACGAGCAGGGAGGAAAGAGAGGAGGGGGTTTAAGCTTTGAGGAGCGTGTTCAGGTGAATTATCAGGTGGCCCTGCAGCTAGGGTTTCAGGCTCTGGAAGGGATACGAGAGGAAGGGGAGAGGGAGGAGCGGAGGAGAGGAGGAGGGCGAAAGCAGCGTGGTAGGGGACGCGTGGCTGGTGGTTCTTCAGCTTCTGCTGCTGCAGTTGCAGCAAGAGGTGTGACAGAAGGAGAGGCAGCAGGAGCAGCAGCAGGAGTAGCAGCGAGAGTGGCGGCAGCGGGAATAGCAGCGGCAGCAGGGGCAGGAGATGGCTTTAGCGCTCAACAGCAACAGCAGCAGCTGGGGCGGCAGCAAGAGGAGGGCCAGGAACAGCAGCAGCAGCAGCAGCAGCAGCAGGAGGGGCAGGTGACTGTAGTTCCAGAGGACACGTGGAGTGACAGTGATGAGGGTGGTGATAATGAGAGCATTGACAGTGACAGGAGCGGTGGCAGCCGTGACAGTATCGAGGGGGACACTGGCAGCATGGAGTCTGGATTCGCGAGCAGTGAAGGGGGCAGGACGGCTGGCTCTCAAGCCAGCTCTCGCAGAAAGACCCGAGGGATGGACACTCGTCGTGGGTTTTACGGTGCAGCAGAAGAGAGCCAGAGCTATTACAGCCCAGAGCTGTCATCTGCTGCTGCTGCTGGTGCTGGTGCTGCTGGTGGGGCGGCTGTGGGTGCTGCGTCTCCTCTCTTTCCGCCCTACAGCAGTCAAGCAGCAGTCGTTTCTCCCTTCCCTGGCCGGCCAGATTCTCTCGCTGCCCTCGCCTCTCTCTACGATTTCACCACCGCTATCCCCACCCCCTCCTCGCCCCCTCCCTACTCTGAGCCTGGGGATTTGCCTGCTGGGCTTGCCAGGCAGAATCTTGCACCCGCTGAAACACCTGAAGCGTCTGCCTCTGTTGCTGGGCACCTGGCTGGTGATCAGCTCGCGCTGCCTGGTGTCTGGTCAGGTGAATTCCCAGGTGAATCAGGGACTTTCCCAGGTGCTGTTCCTGTCCTGCCTGGGTCGTCCCCGTCTCCTCCGCCCTTCCCTTCAACCTCGCTCTCTCTCATGGAGCCGTCTGGATGGGCTGTTGACAACTTCAGGTCCCTGCTGGAGCAAGCACTCAGAGCACCGGTTGCTGACAGCACTTGAACCAGTGGTTTCCTGTTCCCCATTTTCTCCGCCTCCTCCTCCTCCGCCTCCCTCCCTCCCCTTCCCTTCCCTGTCACTTTCTCTAATGGAGCATCGGGATGGGCTGTTGACAACTTCAGGTCCCTGCTGAAGCAAGAGCTTCCGAAATTTGGAATGGATACCACCTGAACCAGGGTTTCCTGCTTCCTCCTTTTTTACTCCGCCTCCTGCATCCCCCCCTTCCCCCTTGCTGGGCGATTTTTGACATTGGTCACCGGACCATACCAGACGAATCTGGCCATTAGAAAGCAGTGTATTGGTTTTTGTATACGGAATGCCACTCATTGAATGCAATCCACCACTGAGACGGCATATGTTATTACCACAGTTTAAAATCATTGCGTTTTATGGTGTTTGGCTGGAGCTGGTGGTACAGGTAGGCCTCTGCCACTCCGACACAAGTGCTGCTTTGCTTGAGTGGAGGAATGATCAGTTACCGCACATAGATCAGTCAATGACAAAGACAAAACACACACATAAGAGCCTCTAAAAAACTGACAACCCCCCTGTACAGTAGTGAAGACATTGGTGTCCACTATTACTTATTCAAGAGTACCCCCCAAATCTTGAGATGACTCCAATTCTGCACACTTAATGCAAACTGTGGGTTGACTCAGCAAGTATTTACCAGGGAACTATTCACCAAAGTGCCGCCACCACACCATCAGCCAGCAGGTCCTTAAGATTGAGGAAATCCGCTCCCGCACACATGTCAAGCAGTGATTGGTTGCAGTCCAGCAAGCCATCTAGGTGAGCGAGGTGGTTTGCTGCAACAGCAGGGTCAGCAGGGTCAGCGGCATTAGTTGCAGCACCGGCAGCAGCAGCAGCTAGAGCGACATTATTACAGTCAGCTTGAATCATTTCCCAATCCTCCAACCCATCAGCACTCGATACACCTCCCGCACCAGCAGCAGCAGCACCAACAGCAGCAGCAGCACTGGCAGCAGCAGCAGCAACAGCAGTGGGGCCGGTTGGAAGCGGTTGAGATGGAAGAGGTTGCGAAGGAAGATCAGCTGCAGGGAGAGGGTTGTCGGCTAGAAGCTTCTGCTGATACAGCGCAGCAGCTGCTGCTGCAGACGCACCACCACCACTAGTAACATCACCTGTGGCAGGAGCCGCAGGAGCCACAGGAGCCGCAGGAGCAGGAGGAGCAGGAGCAGGAGCAGCGGCGGCAGGAGCAGCCGCGGCAGCAGCAGGAGCAGGAGCAGCAGGGGCAGCAGCAGCAGGAGCAGGAACGACAGGAGCATGGGGTAGAGCGGCAGCAGCTGGTTCTGAGATCACCAACCCATCCGCTTCGCCGCAACCAGGTGGTAACCACGCCCACGGATCTGTTACATGGCAGTTATCTGCTGCCTGACAGTTATCCATAACAGCATCATGCGCAGCTGGCTCGCCTGCATCCTCAAGTGCCACGTCAGCAGCTGCTGCCAGCTCAGCCTGGGCTGCCAACTCAGCGGGCGCTGCCAGCTCAGCAGCAGACACACACCTTCCGAAAACAGCCTCGTTCCCGACAGTTGTTCCGCTGCCCGAGCGGCACGGCTTGGCAGGACTTGCAACAGGGCTGTTGAGTGCTGGATGGCAGAGGCTCATTAGAAGGGCGTGTAGGGAGACAACCGGGCCGGTGGGTGGGGTGGGAAGAGAGACAGGAGCAACTGCAGGAGCGGCAGCTGCAGGAGTGGCAGTAGGATTGGCAGAGGTAGCAGCAGCAATAGAAACTGAAGCAGCTGGAGCAGTGACAGTAGCAAGAGGAGCAGCCGGAGCGGCAGCAGCCGGAGCAGCTGCAGGAGGGGCAGCCGCGTTGGGAGATTTCTGGGGGGAGAGGGAGGAGTTAACAGCACTAGAGGCAGTCATGCTGCTGGTTTCGGTCATGTCTGGTAACAGGGTTACCACCTGGCCTTGCAGCTTCTCAGATAGAAGCTTCAGGAGGAGGCTGATGCTGGCAGCGTTGGGATCTGTGGCGGTGGGGAGAGCAGTAGGGGCAGCAGGAGCGGCAACAGGAAGAGCAGCAGCAGGGGCGGCAGTAGGGGCAGCGGAAGGCGCAGGGGTAGGGGGAGACGGGGCACTAGCGGCAGCAGCAAGGGCAACAGGAGCAGTTGGGGGAGCAGAGGAAATGCTCTTCACGTTTTGAGTCTGCCGCTGCTGTTGCTTCTGCTTTTGCTGCTGTCTGTGCTGCTGCAGCAACAGCAACTGCTGCAGAAGCTGATTACTCTGCTCCTCCTGCTGCCGCTGCTTTTCCTGCTGCTGCTGCTGTTCCCTTCGTTTCTGCTCCCTTTCTTCCTCCTCCCGCTTCTGCTGAAGTAGCAGCTGCTGCTGTTGTTTCTGCTGCTGCAGTTGCTGCTGCCTCTGCAGTAGCTGCTGCTGCAGCTGCTTCTGTTGCTGTTCCCTCAACCTTTGCTTCCGCTCCCTCTCTTCCTGCTCTCGCCTCTGCTGCTGCTGCTGCTGCTGCTGCTGCTGCTGCTGCTGCTGCTGCTGCTGTTGCTGCTGTTCCTTGTTATTCTGGGCTCCCATCTCCTCTTGCCGACCACCTTCCTTCTGCTGCAGCAGCACCTGATACTTTTTCAGCAGACCCTGAAGCCGCTCCCTCTCCTCCTCATGCTGCCGCTGCTGCTGCAGCCGAATCTCCTCCTCTTGCTTCTGCTTATTCTGTGCTGCAATCGCCACTGCTGCAACGACCGTCGCCAACGCCACCAGCGACTGCTCGCGATTACCACCACCACTCTGGTTACCAATGTCGCTGTGGTTACCACCAGCGTCACTGGCTGTGGTTACACTTTGCAACCGACTGAGCTCTGCAGTAAGCCTCTCCATACTCATTTCCGAGCCTAGGGCCGAACCAAGTGCCGAGCCTAGCGCCGAGTCCAAGGCTGTGGTTACGGCACTGGAGTGGTTACCACTTGGCGACGCGGCGGAGGAGCTTGGATACGCGGGAGGCAGCATGGCGGAAGACTGGCGGGCGGACAGGCGCGCGGGGAGCGCGGGGAGCAGGCGGGGGGAGGAGGAGACCTGATGCACGGATCCAGGGGAGACCCCGCTGCTGCTTCCGCTGTTCACTCCAAAGCTTGCTCCAGCGCCGGTTCCGCGGGTTCCGCAACTCGGCGGGGAGAAAGCATTCGCGGATGCTTGCGCGCGCGGAGACGCTCGCGGAACGCCAGCTTCGCGCGGAGCTCCCCCGGAAGCGGAACTTCCGCCGCGCGGGATTGTGAACAGCGGAGGCGGAGCGTGCGCCGCGCGGGGGGAGGGGAGCGGAAGCGCGGATGAATGCCCGCTCGTGGGGGTGCTGGCAAGCGCGGTGAATCCCGGAAATCCTCCGTTTCTAACATCCCCGCTATTGTCGGAAGGAGTGATAGCGAGGCTGGGGCTTGGAAACGCATCCCACGACGCGGACGAGAAGCTTGCACCGGTAGTGCCGGCGGGAGACGCGGAGGCGACGCCACGTGGCGTGATGGAACAGCGGCGGCTCGAGCCGATCGTGCGAGCACCGCAGGGGGAGAAGCCGCTGGGGGAGGCGAAGCGCGATCCGGCACGAGCGCCGGGAACGGCGGCGGGCGCACTGACGTGGCCGGACTCCGCGACAGGAAGAAGTAGCGGTTCGGGGTCGTCGCCTGTGACTATATCGAAGTCCGTTTGCAGTTGAGTCAGCTTTAAACGTGACTTTTTCGCCTCCAGGGGACTTGAGAATACTGCCGTAGCTTCGAGTGCTGTTGCCGTCCGACGGGGCGTGACTGGCGCCGTGTCGAGCGCTGAATAAGTCGCGTCCACGGCAGCGTTAACGTTAGCGTTAACGTTAACGTTACCGTTGAGGTTAGCGTCTGCCTTAATCGCCGTGAGCGGCGGGGTCGACGGGCTCAAGTTTCCAGATTCCGTCACGCGAATCGGCTTGCACTCGCCGTTCGACAGCGGCTGTGGTTGACGGAAAACGTTTACATCGTTTCCATTGACAGAGTTCGCTGAGCGGTTCAATCCCGGCTCCTGATTGGCTGCGCCGACAGGAGACCACACCGTCAAACCCTCTATCGAGCAGGCGCGACGTTTGGGCGCGGAGAATCGTTTCTCCTCTACGCCGCTGAACGCGTACTCGTTTTTGTCACATCCGTCGTCACTCATACTGCTCGTTCGCTTGTGACCGGGCGAGACGTTATTGGCTGCAGAGTCAGCTCCGTTCCTCGACGGTGATTTGCCCGTCTTCTCTCGAATCGGCTTCTCCGAGTCGCATGCGTTTCCGGCCTCACGCGACTCCGTCATCTCGCAGTCCACCGCGCCGCTCGCAGCGGGAATCGCTGCGGAGATAGCGGCCGCGACAGGAGCGGAGATGCTAACCGGGTCCTGCGGGTTCCACCGATTGCGGGTGCGGCGGTACGAGGACGGTGGCGCGCCGGACGCGCCAGATGCGGCGCCGGATGCGGTAGTCGCGGCGGCGGAAGGCGGAGACGAGCTGTCCAGCTGCCGCTCCTTGGGGGACTTTCCGCTGGCCGCGCCGGCGCCGGCCGCGCCGGCAGTCTTTCCGCGGAGGTCCTTGGGCATTGCGCCGGTTTCCGCGTGGTTGTGCGCGCCCGAGTATTGCGTGCGCGAGTTGAGCGGATGATCCGGATTAACGTCAACCACTTTCTTCGCGACGCACGGCACGGAAGCCTTAGACCACGCGCACTTGTAATAGGATCTGCGCGTGGGGAGGAGAAGGGGAGGGCCAGGGGAGCGGAAGGAGGGGAGAGGGGGAAGGTTAGGCAGATAACCTAGGAGACGACTTAGATCTATAAGTCGGCACGGCCGCCTTAGACCACGCGCACTCGTAGCTGGTAGGGTGTTTTATATCTTTATGTCGAAATAGGAGAGGGGGTGTGGGGAGGGGGAGGCGAGGCGGGGGTAAGGAGAGGAGGGGGAGAGAAGACTAAAGAAACAAGAATACCACGAGAAACAAACCGAAGTTGAAGTTTGCGGGGTTTTGACGGTATGTTCATGCAGGTTATCTTATCATGCTGCCGTGTTTTACGGATCGAAAAGACTTACCGGAGAAGCGACTTCTCAGTGACGCGCTTTTCACCGTACTTCAGCCAGCAGTAGCCGTCAGCGTGGACGATTTCCGTCAGACGCGCCGCGGCGCGGAGCAGCAAGCAGTCTTGATGAACTTTCCTCGCGGAGGCGTTTGGCGTGTTCGACGCAGCAGCGGCGGAAGCGGAAGCGTCGGCGGTGAGAGTGGTGGCGCAACTTCCGGCTATCACGGCGGAGCTCGCCGAGCCGCCTTGGTTTTGAGCGGAGTTGCTGCGGCCGGCAGCATGACTCTGCCGTCCATGATGTTCGCGAACGTGGTTACCAGATTCATGCGCACGATCACTCATTGCGGTGTCCGTGTTCGTGATACAGGCGGCCATGGCCGCCGGAATCTGAAGCTGATGGTGTTGTTTGCGCCGCCGTTAATGGCGCTGATGCCGTGGCGGTGCCGACGACGATGCGATAACGAATGGTACCGTCGAATGAATTGTTCTCTCCGCTCGGAGACACAGTCCGATCGCACGCGTGGTAGTACGCAGCGGATCGAAACTTGGGAGGCGGGGAAAGCGGCTGGTGGTTCTCGAAAATGCGACGGCGGACCCGCGGCAGCGACGACGGCGCTTGCAGTATTTTGCTGGAGTTTAGGTAGTGATGCTGTAACGGCGGGCGTGCGTCGCTCCAAAGAAGAGATGTAATCGTGGTCGGTCGATTGAGGTGAGGGCACGTGAATGTCGGCGTGAGACAAACCTCCTGCAGGTGGGACTTGTGGATTTAGTCAGGAGAGGAGTGACGAGCAGGCAATGAAATGAGGCTAAATAACGAATGACGAATGTTCAAGAACTCGGCGCCGCGTGTCAGGAGCGCTTGCGCCCTGTTTGCTCAATATGATTTCTTGATTTCTGAAACGGTTGAACGAGATGCTATAAGGTCGTACGAGATGGCTTTAGGGCGTGTTACATTTTCGAATTTTCCGTACGGTCCGGACATTAACCACTCTGAAACACACTGAAACCCACTTGAACAAAGCGTTAAAAACCGATTTTAACCGTTCAGACGGTCCGGTCCGTTTGGAAAAAAACCGAAAATGTAACACGCCCTTAGGCGATGTCACCGTCCGTGCCAATCTGTCTCTTGAATGCAAACAGCTGGAAGCCACCCGAGGGCGGCCATGAACCGCCTGAAACAGAGTGAAGGGCAGATTTAATGAAATCTTAACTCAAAAACTACAGGCTTGCGGCCTTTTCACACCCATACTCCCGCTTCCCCCCTTCTCTCAGATGGGTGTCCAGGTGGTTATCAGTGAGGAAACAGAGGGGAGAGAAGATTTCGTTTGCGGGACTAATCCTGCACCAGTGTGGATTGGAATGCATAAGGGCGCGTGTCTCTTGGTGCAGAGGTTCGAAAAAAAGGTCAAACTTTTTTTGGTAACCAGCTTCGCCAGTTTCGTACAGAGCTATTGACGACGAGCGTGTGTCCAAGCTCAAAGTTGCTGAAACAAGACACTGAACTAGGGTCGACCTCGCATTCGACTATCCCCGAGCATGTTTCTCCAATCGTGTGTTCTTCGAAGAAGCTGCGAGATTCGCGATGGTCACGAACCACGTCGCGCCATGTTACCAGAGTTGAAAGTGCTAACGAGCTTCTCGATATAGACAGGGTAACCTACAAAACTTGGCGCGACTCGGATTTTACTGTACAAATTCGACCTTTGAAAGTCGAGCATTTCTTGTGCCATGTGCTCCACGTCAAGGTGAACACGCGACTCGACAATGAAATGACGAGATAGTCGACTACAGGTCGACCTGTGTTCAATTGCAAAAATTCGACTAAAAAACATGAACTTTGGCCTCAATTTCAAAAGACACGCGCCCTAGTAGCGCAGCACATAGCAGCATAGGAGAGATCTGATTATAGAATATATGGATCTTTTTTGGCTAGTAATGTAGTTTTCTTCCGTTGAAAAAAAACAAAACACTGGTTCCTTGTGGGAGGTTCTTTCCACTGAGTTCTTCTGATAAGGACAGTATCGACCAGTGGAAACAAAGCAGCCAGACTTCCATTCCTTTCCTCACTCCTGAAAGTCTTCAAATAAGGCCAGCATGGGCTAGTGGAGTTGGAAATGGCGAGGTCTTTCGGTCAGGTAAACTGGCAGGTTCTGAAATGAGATTGACACGCATGCAAGGTCGCTAACCGCGTTGTGTACTACAGTCGGTCGTGCAGTTTATCGGACATGGGTTTGAAAAAGAATGTGGGCTTTTGTTCTCGGAATGTTCCGGGGAGAGTGCGGAGCGGACGGTGCGGGCGGAGAGAAGCATCTCGCCCCTTCACGAATCACATCAAGATCCAACCCCCACCGCCCGTCCCCTCTACAAAAGCCGCACTTTCCCCACAGGTGTCAAGTTCGTGCGCGAAGGACCGTCTGCCAATTGAAGAGTTGTCAGAGGGTCAACAAGGGGAGACAAGTCTGTGGCGAGAGCTGTACGACGCCAATCGTCGCCGAGAGACTGTCCGCATCAGCCCAGCTTTGAGCCTCTGGCAATGTTGGCAGACACATGACAGTGATGAGTGGGCGCGAGGTGATGGAGGTATCGCATCATTCATTCGTTGTGAGTTTCATCGACGTATCAAAAGCACGACGCCTCCCGCGATTGCGGTTGTGCGAATCGCAACGCAACAGCAAGCGTCTAGGGAACGGACGGCGGACTTAGGGTGCATTCCTGGTTGTTGGCAGGGCAACTGTTCACATCGAGTTGGTGGCAAGTGTACCCAAAAATTCAGTGGGCCGGAAAATGCGCTTGCCACCAACAGTTGCCCTGCCACCAACTCAGGAATGCACCCTTAGTGGTTGAGGCAAAGGGAGAACCACAGTTGGGGGCTGGGGGGCGGGCTGTTGCGGGGGGGAAACGCGGTGGGGGAAGTGGGGACCAGTGTAAGGGGAAGAGGTTGCATCAAAAGGACGGTAAAAACGCTGTTTTGTGAGGCTCCGTTCCAAGGTTCCATTCGGCTGGACAAGTGTGTTGTGGCAGGAAGTGATGTTGCTCGCTTCGACCCGAAGTTGAAAACGAGCCTTGGAGCTTGTTGTACTGCGGACCTCTTGGTCAAGTCGACCCGTTTTGGATACGGAGGGCTGCCCAGTGAGCTGGGATTTTGCCCTAGCCAGACGGTTCGAAATCGAGCAGAACTTGGCTGCTCTTCGTGAAACAGTTTCGAGATGCAAAGATGATGGTCCGAGTACACCCCAACGTTCACGAATCGATGACCTCGTGCACTAACTCCCATAAATGACCCCAGTCGTACTGACCTGGACCACGTCCTACTCAAGAGGGGGGTTGCTTGTTTTGTGTTGTCGAGCAGCCCTAGGTATGGGAGATGGAAAGTTAAACTCGTTGGTGATTGGTCACATTTTGCTGACTCGAAACAGAAAAGGGGCAAGGACGGAAGGCATGTCGGAAATTGGGATAGGGGAGATCGTGCAATGCGGCTAATGGTTTCATTTCAGGTGATTTCAAATCTCCTCTGCAGTCCTGACAGTTGATCTGACACCCTTGACTATCTGGCTGTCTGCAACAACACCTCCTGTCCAGCCATGCAAAAATCGGTTTGAGGGCGTATCACGCGAGTTCACTCCCTGTCACCGTGGCAGCACTGAGATGAGGAAGTAGCTGTTGCAAGCTTTGGTTGCCCCTAATCACGCGGGGGCGTTGTTTCCCAAGTTCCAACCTTCACGACTCCACTGCAGCGTGGACAGACGAAGGGGTTGACAACTTGTCTTTGGTACATAGCGAAGACTTCTTTGGCCGATAAATACACTGTATAAGCTGAGTAATTTTCTCAATTCGGACACGGAAGCCTAGTACTAGCGTTTTTTCCAGGAAAGCTGGAATTCACCGAGCTGCCACGGTACTTTGCAAAGACATCGAAGGAAACACCGAGAAATTGACAGATGTTTAAGACTCACTCTGGTTGGTTGCGACAATATACAGTGTGCATGGCTGCGGCACTGCTTTCCTGATCTGGAAGACAATTACGCCTGGATCTGGGATGTGGCAGCAGGCGAAATGGTCAACTACGGTATGTCTGTGTGGCAGCCAGCTGTTGGTTGGACACTGAACAGCTAGTGTGAGGCCCAAGAAAAGGGAGAATTCTGTCAATGTAACTTACATGGGGCAGTGTAAAGCGTACGATAACGATTTCAACTCGTTTAGTAACTCGTTAGCGAGGCCATCCCGAGGGTCACGCGACGAACCTGACCTTCCTATTTCGTCGCACCGAACCACTCCCGAGTCGGCCTCCGCTCCAATCGCAACCATCAACGAGCCATCCTCGCCCAACCTCCCTGCCTAGCTAGCTTTTCCCCTATTTAGGCCTCGCTACTTCATTGTTCATTCAGTGATTCTGTAATTCTCATTCTCGATATTCGATATTCGGCGCACTCTGCAAGTTCATTCATAACACCTGGTATCAGAGCTACTTTCCTAGCCTACCCCGCTTTTTAGAGTGTAGTACCCCACGGGGGGGGGGGACGAGGAAGGATGTCTTGGGGTCCAGGAGTTGCGTAGGCCGGCCAGGAGAACGAGTTAGTTGCTCATCGCGGCCATGGTTTTACGGGTACTCCTTCGGCACCGCCAGATCCTTCCCTCGAACGGTCGCGATCGACCGTGGCCTCCCTCCCCCCGGGCAACGGGCAGCTGTAGCTGTCGCGACGTTTATGTGAGTAATTTCCGCTGCGATTTCCCGACGATTTTCGGAAGTTTTGTGTGGCAGCTGGCGTCAGCGGACCTGCGTCGGCACCTGCACGAAATTCGCGGAGTCGTCAACGTGTGTGGCAGTTGACGCCGTCGGACCTGGGTCAACAGCTGCGCGACAACTTCAGAGTTCGTCTGAAGCGGCAAGTTATGACGGTGGCTCGTCGTCATTTTGCGCGCGTGACTCACGGAGTGTGGCTCGGCAGCTGGCGACAAGGAACGTGCGTGACTGTGGCGATAATTTCGGAGCTACTGTGAAGAAATGTCGGCTGGGGAACTCGCCAGGCGCAAAAGGAGTTTGCGTCCGAAAATGTCGGTGGCGAGGAGAGACGACACAAGACTGCCCGACTTAGCGGGAGTCAACTGCCGTCCCGCCCGACCTGAAGTGCAGCGGCTTTTACTGCATGGCGAGCGCGTCATCGAGTATTTCGGCAGGAGTGCACGTGGACAGACGGGAACTTCAGACCCGCCGACACTTACGGGTTGCAACAGAAAACGGAGTGGCTAAATCGCACTCAGGAGGAGTGGGACGCAGGCGGCGAGGGCAATTCGGGCCCATACACCCCGAAGAACACTCGGATGACGCTGCGTGCCTGGTGCTG